CTGTTTTCATCTAGTTTTTTTACAAGAGATTTCCATGATCAGATAAAATATAAATATTTTATTATGCAAGAAAGAGTTTATATTGTTTATTATTAAAGTGATATTGACGCAAATTTTATAATCATAACTATTTATATTGAAAAACTATTGAACAGAAGCAAACTGCTTTGAATTTCTAAAATGTAATCGTGATTATTTTAGAATCAGATTCCATTAATTGCGGGGAAAAGACATTTATAAAAATATAAACATGAAAACAAAAAATCGTAAAGCAGGAAAAAGGGAGGAGAGGGGGAGAGAGGATACATGAAATTGAGTGAGTGAGGGGGAGGGAAGGAGAGAGAGATTGAGAGATTAAGGGAGTGAGGGAGAGAGAGGAAAGGTATGGATAAATAATAGAACGGTTGGCACTGTTTCTATAATTATTGTTTATGTTCTACTCACATGTGGTTTAGCACAATTTATAGCATAATTAAATAAGTTATTTACGGCTTCTCTTATTGGGTTAATAGGACTGTTTTACTTAACCCTAGAAAGGCGGAGAGGGGACGTTTTGTTTAAATAAAATGTTACTTAAATTAGATATGAGAAACTATTTTTAGGAATACAAGTTAGTTGTGAGTTAAGATTATGATATAAATATTTCATTGATTTGATGGGGGAAGGGGGCGTGAAGAGTCGGGGGATGTTTTCTTCGCCCAACCCCTACTGGGTTTAAAACAAGATAATCTGTTTACATCTGTTTAATAATATTTTAAGTTTGAAATTACGAAGAGTGCTGGATTGCTGATTTAGTCCAGGAGTATTCATACGGAGAAATTGAGGACTCTTCGCGCCCTCTTTGTTATTCACTCATAATCTTAACATTGGATATTTCAACAGTTTTATAATGTAAATTTGGACTTTGAGGCATTTTGTCTAACAGACAAAAATCAAGCATTTTTCGCCATTATCCTTATTTTTGTCCGGTATACTTCCATTTTCACATAAAAATTGGAAATTCTTCTTGTTCTTATTGTTCTTCTTGTTATTATTGTTCTTCTTCTTGTTTTTCTTCTTGTTTTTCTTGTTCTTCTTTTTCTTCTTGTTCTTCTTGTTTTTCTTCTTGTTTTTCTTGTTCTTCTTGTTCTTCTTGTTCTTCTTCTTGTTTTTCTTGTTCTTCTTGTTCTTCTTGTTCTTCTTGTTATTATTGTTTTTCTTCTTGTTTTTCTTCTTGTTTTTCTTTTTCTTCTTGTTCTTCTTGTTCTTCTTGTTCTTCTTCTTGTTTTTCTTGTTCTTCTTGTTCTTATTGTTCTTCTTGTTATTATTGTTCTTCTTCTTGTTTTTCTTCTTGTTTTTCTTTTTCTTCTTGTTCTTCTTGTTCTTCTTGGTCTTCTTCTTGTTTTTATTGTTCTTCTTATTCTTCTTGTTCTTCTTGTTCTTCTTCTTGTTTTTCTTGTTCTTCTTGTTCTTCTTGTTCTTCTTGTTATTCTTCTTGTTATTCTTGTTCTTCTTGTTCTTCTTGTTCTTCTCGTTCTTCTTCTTGTTTTTCTTGTTCTTCTTGTTCTTCTTGTTCTTCTTGTTCTTCTTCCTGTTCTTCTTGTTCCTCTTCTTGTTCTTCTTCTTTTTCTTCTTCTTTCTTTTTCTTCTTCTTCTTCTTCTTCTTCTTCTTCTAATCTTGTAATCCTTATTTCAGATGACTATGGCTGTTTTTCAAAGAAGTTATTTAATGCCAGCATTGTTTTCAATTCTATTGTTTTGTTTGTCTTTTGTAAGTTACTTTTTTTAATTTTAGTATTTTTGTTTCATTGTTTATGATTTCGAATAAAAAAAAAAAAAACAATTTTCAGTGGTTGGTCAGTATTGATTTGGACATAAGAAAATTAATACAGGTAAAACTACGATTTACAAAATTGAATTTGAAATTTAAAAACTGAATTCAGGAAAAAAATGTGTAATTTCTGTAACTTTATTTTACACATAACATAATATAACACATAACACATAACATAACACATAATTCACATAACATATAACATAACACAAAACATATAAAATAACATATAACATATAACATAACAAATAACATGATACGTAACATGTAACATAAAACATAATTTTTAATTATAAAAGTTTTTCTGGAAATGGTAGGAAAAGGCAAAAAAAATACTATTGATCCAGTAAAATGGCTAGTCCATTTAGGAAAATCATTTTAAAATAACAAAATTTCGTACCTAGGCTAGTATTACCCTAACGCTTCCTAAATAGGGGTAATCAAGGGAATAGGGGGGGGGGGGGGATCACAGAATCTAGACTAGGAAAATACTGGATTATTTTAGGGTCTTGACACAGTTGATTTTGACGGGAATCTAGATCTGTTTAGTCTGGAGCAGGATGATCCAAGACTAGTCGAATATGTCAAACATAATTTTTTAATCAAAACTGGAACAAAAGGGGGAAAGGTGAGTGTTTTCTTTTAAAAACATTTAAAGAATCTGAGTTTTTGCCGTAAACTAAAATTTTCAAATCCCTATATCGTTGCAACCTGATCGTGCAAACCTTTGATATTTTAACTATTTTATCTAACAGAATTCATAGTTTGGAATATCAAAGGTCTACCACATCGGGTTGCAAAGATATATGAGATTGTGACAAAACTAATTTCCTTTAAGAATATGCTATTCTCCTACTCCTACAACGTCAAAGTAGCGTTAATTGAAATTTAGATTGGAATCTTACAAGTTTTCAATCACAACTTAAAGATCTATCGAAAAGAACAAAAAGTTTGAAATGTCTAATACACCCAGTCCCAGGATATTATGCAAGAGCATTTATTGATCCTTTCTGCCCCTAAAGTTGGACTTGAAAAAAATCAAACACTGAATACATGTGTATTGTCATTATTATAACTATAAAGTTATGAAGCACTTTTGGTTTTCAATCTGGAAATTTTTCAAGTGCTAAATCACAGTTTACTAAACTGTCGTAAAATCTGTGTCCCAATTATTAGACAAGTGCAACATTTTTTTTCAAAATGGGCGGAAAAAACCTTTTTGGAGATATAAAAATAACTGTTAGAGAGAACTGTGAAATTGAAAGTCACCAACAAAACTTTTTATAGTGTGATGATTTTGGCCCCGAATCTTTTAGATTTTGGGTGTATACTTTCCATTTTACAGGTCTCTATCTGTCAGTTATCATTTATCTGTCAATTTTTTCCGCCCCATCATAAAATTTTTTTTTTATTCGAGTGGGTTGACTTTAGTATCGAAAGGTAATTTTTCGGACAAACTTTGGTTCCTAAGCTAGTTCATTTATGGGTTTTATTATTTTTTTTTTAGAATTCAAGTCTATACTTGGTTCCCAAGCTATAGTTCACTTCAAAGCTTTTTTTGTAGGTTTTACGATGATTCTTTTAGAATTTGAGACTGCTGGGTTCCTAAGAGCTATTTCATTTAAAAGTTTTTAATGAATTTTTTAGAATTTGAGACTGCTGGGTTCCTAAGAGTAAGTTGAGACTGCTGGGTTCCTAAGCTGGTTTATTTACAGGTTTTTGAATTAATTTTTTAGAAGTTGAGACTGCTAGGTTCCTAAGCTGGTTTATTTACAGGTTTTTAAATTAATTTTTTAGAAGTTGAGACTGCTGGGTTCCTAAGCTGGTTTATTTACAGGTTTTTAAATTAATTTTTTAGAAGTTGAGACTGCTGGGTTCCTAAGCTGGTTTATCTACAGGTTTTTAAATTAATTTTTTAGAAGTTGAGACTGCTAGGTTCCTAAGTTGGTTTATCTACAGGTTTTTAAATGAGTTTTTATGGATTTGAGACTGCTGGGTTCCTAGGCTGGTTCACTTATAAGTTTTTTAATGATTTTTTTAGAATTTGAGACTGCTGGGTTTCTAAGCTGGTTTATTTATAGGTTTTTGAATTATTTTTTTAGAATTCTAGACTGCTGGGTTCCTAAGCTGGTTTATTTATAGGTTTTTAAAGTAATTTTTTAGAAGTTGAGACTGCTGGGTTCCTAAGCTGGTTTATTTACAGGTTTTTGAATTAATTTTTTAGAAGTTGATACTGCTAGGTTCCTAAGCTGGTTTATCTACAGGTTTTTTAATTAATTTTTTAGAAGTTGAGACTGCTAGGTTCCTAGGCTGGTTCATTTATAAGTTTTTTAATGATTTTTTTTAGAATTTGAGACTGCTGGGTTCCTAAGCTGGTTTATTTACAGGTTTTTAAAGTAATTTTTTAGAAGTTGAGACTATACTTGGTTCCCAAGCTATAGGTCACTTCAAAGTTTTTTTTCCAGGTTTTATGATGATTCTTTTGGAATTTGAGACTCCTGGGTTCCTAAGAGCTATTTCATTTAAAAGTTTTTAATGATTTTTTTAGAAGTTGAGACTGCTGGGTTTCTAAGCTGGTTTATTTACAGGTTTTTAAAGTAATTTTTTAGAAGTTGAGACTATACTTGGTTCCCAAGCTATAGGTCACTACAAAGTTTTTTTTTTGTAGGTTTTATGATGATTCTTTTGGAATTTGAGACTGCTGGGTTCCTAAGAGCTATTTCATTTAAAAGTTTTTAAAGAATTTTTTAGAATTTGAGACTGCTGGGTTTCTAGGCTGGTTCATTTATAAGTTTTTTAATGATTTTTTTAGAGGTTGAGACTGCTAGGTTTCTAAGCTGGTTTATTTACAGGTTTTTAAATTAATTTTTTACAAGTTGAGACTGCTGGGTTTCTAAGCTGGTTCATTTATAAGTTTTGCAATGAATTTTTTTAGAAGTTGAGACTGCTGGGTTTCTAAGCTGGTTTATTTACAGGTTTTTAAATTAATTTTTTACAAGTTGAGACTGCTGGGTTTCCGAGCTAGTTCATTTATAAGTTTTTTTCTATTGTTTTTTATGATTCTTTTAGAATTTGAGACTGCTGGGTTCCCATTTCCTTAGCTAGTTTATTTATAATTAAAATTTTTTTAATGATTTTTTTAGAATTTGAGGCTGGCAAACAATCCACCCATTCTGGCAGCACAGTTTAATCAATCTTTGGAAGTGGATAAAATTTATAACAGGTTTTTTATTTAAACCTTGAAATAATTTACAATGCAAAATTAGGAATAGGATCATACGACTTTTAGACTCCAGTTTTGATATTAATTAGTTAAATGAACATGATTCACTGTAATTATAAGTATTTCATATAAAAGATATTTCTGAAAGCTTCTACAGTGACATTTTTTAACTACAAGATGTTTTATAGTTCTCAGTGTACAAGAAGGTTAAGATAATATTTTTTGGGAAGAAGAGGAACGCTTTGATAAAAACGTAATTTCTACTAAAGTTTCTTTGATTGTATATGATTATACATGCTTTGCAGACGGTACTTCATTTGTATAAGACATATTTAGAATATGTTATTGTATACGCGGTAATTGTACATCAGACAAATATTTCTTATTCAAATGAAGTACCGTCTGCAAAGCATGTAAAATCATATGGTAGGGCGGGCCGCTCAGTTGAATCTCCCTTCTATTCCATACTCCTTGCACTAGCGTTGTTAATCATTTTGGTACATTTTCTCTCAGGGTCCAAATAGGGTTATGAAAGTAAATGTAAAATTTATTCTAAATTTATTCATTTGCTTTTCTTACACTATGCCAAATTTTGACCCTCAGAGTAAATCTATGCAAAAAAAAAACTAGCCAAAATCGATCCAAAATCGATCAGTAACCGAACAGGTTAAAATGATTGTTTTTATTTCGTTTTTCTATTCCTTTATGATAAAAATAAAAGTCCGTTAAAAATAAAAGAATATCTAACATTTGTCAGATTCTACAAAAGTGTAATTTATTTGTTACAGAACCTACAAAAAAACTTTTGAAATCTCATCAAATTTGCAATAAATTAGCAAAAAAAAATAGGAAAATTCAGCAAGATTTGGGGCCCTCCAAAAACTCAAACAACACGTCGGACCACAAATCTCATGTACCTAGTTATCTATTGTGAATAAAAAATTATATGTATATGAACCCATTTATCAAAATATTTATATTTATTTAAATAAGGGGGGGGGGGTCAAAATTTAAAAACCTTGAAACACAGTATTTTTTCAACTATTTCAATCTGGGTATCATTTTAGCACAATCATGTTTGATCCATTTTTCTTTAAGTTCTCTGTTCAACGGATTCTTCATTGAAGCTGGGGCCTTTGATGGGGAGAGTCTTAGTAATTCACTCTTTTTTGGTAAATTAAAAATCTTTACACATTTTTTATAGTATATTTTTTACCTTTTTATTTTGATGAAAGAATTGGAACGCGGATGGACCGGACTACTGGTTGAAGCAAACTCAGAATTAGTTAAAAGAATTGAAGGTTAGTTCTATCTTGACTGACATTGTATATGTCAGGTGACCCTTCATTTATCATTGAAAGAGTGACATATCCGTATAAAAAGGTACCCTTTATATGATCAATACTGCGAAAAATATAGCAGCTTGAATTGTGTCTAATTTTCACATTTTATTTCATTGTTTCTGCAAGCATAAATCCTGAACAATTGAAATTTTCAGTTTTCATGACTAACATCATGATTTCTTATTCAATCTTGATCTTGATCATAGAAAGAGTTAATAAAAATAATTAATGATTTGAATATAATATATTGTAATTCAGAGTTATTGAAAATAAATAAAAGTTTATTTTAATATTGTAACTCAAGGTTATTGCAAAAAAATAAATAGTTTATTATAATATTGTAACTCAGAGTTATTACAAAAAAATAAATAGTTTATTATAATATTGTAACTCAGAGTTATTGCAAAAAATAATAGTTTATTATAATATTGTAACTCAGAGTTATTGCAAAAAAAATATTGTAACTCAGAGTTATTGCAAAAAAAATAGTTTATTATAATATTGTAACTCCGAGTTATTGCAAAAAATTGAAAATTTATTATGATATTGTAACTCAGAGTTATTGCAAAAAATAATAGTTTATTATAATATTGTAACTCAGAGTTATTGCAAAAAAATAGTTTATTATAATATTGTAACTCCGAGTTATTGCAAAAAATTGAAAATTTATTATGATATTGTATCCTGGAAAAATGAAAACTGCAGATCAGCTAAAAAACAGCGCACAAGTCAGAGAAAATTCATTGCAATTTTTAAAATGTTGTAAAAAATTTGAAATTATGAAAATTTTATTAGAAATCATGAACAGAATGTTAAAGATATCTCACAAACTTTTATGTTTACTAACTTTCTGTTCATAATTACTAACAAACGATATATTAATTTCTTCTTTTCTTCTGTTTAGATAAAAACAGGAATGCTTGGATATCTCCCACATGCTTATCCATCGAAATGAAACCCATCTTTGCAGGCAGAACAAAATAACAAAATAACAAAATAACAAAATAACAAAATAAAAAAATAACAAAATAACAAAATAACAAAATAACAAAATAACAAAATAACAAAATAACAAAATAACAAATAACAAAATTTAAAATTATAAAAATATTTTTATTTTTGACCCATTTCCTCTAACTTTTTTTTTGACATTTAACATTTTTTGATCACCCACCAATTTCTAAAAAAGTTTTTAAAACATTTTAAAATTATTTTGATTGGAATAAATAAGCGTTTTCTAATGCATACATTTGCATCATTCTTTTGCATGCACAATTGATTGGATTTTGGTAGAAAAAAATTTCTTTTAAATTTTTATTTATGTAATATCTAAGTAACACAAACGGTTGGGGGTCGATATTTACAATTGCTGTAGAAGCACTGGAAATAGGAATGATTAGTAAACACAAGCAACCAAAAAGTTTATCAAGTAATTAATGCTCCATTTGAATGTTAATGTAAATTTACAAGGACAGTTCCTCTAAATTATTTTATCTCTATTGTTTAAAGGGACAGTGAGCTAAATTTTAACTGACCTTTAAGTGTTTCGAGTTCAGAAATATGAGTGTGTAAACTTATCGAAACCCGCTTGTCTTGTGTTTAGCTGCTTTGTGCACTCTGTGCAGTCACTTGCGATGTGGGTGTGGACGGTCAGTCGAAATTACGCATGCAATCCCTTTAAATAGATTGTTTGCCATTGAATAAAAAAATTAAATTACTGTATAAAACGAAATTGATAATTTATTACTCTTTTTATATTTGTTCTATAGAATTTGAACAGGCTGGTGTTAATGGTGCAATCAATAATGAGCAGGTTTGGACAAAGTTTTATTTGACATAATAAGTTTACCAAATTAGCCATTGCCCTATTATGTTTACCATAACTAAATTGGCAATAATATGTTCACCATAACTTCAAATTACATTTTGTCCTAGCCGCACCGCTTGGTCACCGTTGTAGCCAGAGTATCGTATTTATTGGTTAGATATTCTATAGGATTTTAAGATTATTGGATTTTTGAAGGATTCACAAAACTCTAGGAAGCGGAGAAAGGTTCGAATATAGAACGCTGATACGAGATCTTACCTATCAACATTTTCTTTCATTAAATTTCGCAAAATTTTTACTCTTACTGTATTTTCGCCACCCAAAATCGAACCTTCTCATAAAAGAGATAAAATATCTCACAAGGAGGATAAAGTTTAAACTGCCTTTTTAAATTATGAATACTTCGTGGAGTCTCCTGTTTGCCTTACAATCCTGAATATTAAAAAATGATGCCAAACTCATTGTCTTTCATCAAAAATAGTTAAAATAAAATCCTGAGTATTTAAAAAATGATGCCAAACTCATTGTCTTTCAGCAATAATAGTTTAAATAAAATCCTGAGTATTTAAAAAATGATGCCAAACTCATTGTCTTTCAGCAATAATAGTTTAAATAAAATCCTGAGTATTTAAAAAATGATGCCAAACTCATTGTTTTTCATCAATAATAGTTAAACTCAATTTTTCTACTAAAATCCTGAATATTTAAAAAATGATGCCCATCATATAATGTAAAACCCATTCTATTCAGGAATTAGGACAAGGAGGATCAAATATGGAACAGGTACAGTAAAAAAAGTACAATTCACAAATTGCATTTTTTAAAGATGCTATTTTGAACATTTCTTTTGATCAGTTAACGGTTTAAAGGGTACCGTTGTGAATCCTGATCAGTTAACGGTTTAAAGGGTACCGTTGTGAATCCTGATCAGTTAACGGTTTAAAGNTATTATTATTATCATTATTAATATAATTATTATCATTAATATCTTTATTATCATTATTATTATCAATAATAAAGCTTTCACCATTTGAATAATCGTCTTGAGTAGAAGTGATTTCAATTATGATAATGTTCTGAAAGCTATGCTCACTCTCTTCGTTGTTTCAACATTCGAGGGCTGGCCTGGGTAGGGTTTCCATTATATTTATAGTTTAAGTACAATTATTATTACCATTTTATTTTTAGTGTTGGGACATTTCCCAGAATGACATATAGAGAGACATTTCATAGATAGGACATTTCGTGGACAGGACATTTCATAGAAAGACATTTCATAGACAGACATTTCATAGAAAGACATTTCATAGAAAGACATTTCTTAGAAAGACATTTCATAGATAGAACATTTCATAGACAGGACATTTCGTGGGCAGGACATTTCATAAAAAGGCCATTTCATAGACAGGACATTTCATAGACAGGAAATTTCATAGACAGGTCATTTCATAGATAGGACATTATAAAGACAAAGAAGAATAAGACAATTTTGCATGGATATGATAATTTTGTTTCTTTTGCCAAGAGTAATCTTATCTAATAAACCATAAACTTTTCTTTCTAAGATCTCCCAGATTTATTTTCCAAAATTTTGATACATTTTTATTAACCCAAATTCTAAAATTCTCTCTGAAATTTTTTTTTCTGTCTATGCAATCATCTGTCTATGTAAAATCTGCTCTGTCTATCAAATGTCCTTTTTTAAATGTCTATGAAATGTCTTTCTGTGTTCCAACATCATGTTTATCATAAATCCACAAAGGATTTTTCATATTGACTGGTATAATAGAAAATAATGAATGTCTGAATTTAGAATACTGTATGTCTCTATTGACTCCAACGAAGTTGATGTTGGTCCTCGACACAACTACCGGCCTGTGGTCGCCATCTTCTATTTTATTTACATTATCATCATAGCTTTTTTCATGGTCAACATATTCGTCGGTTTCGTCATCGTCACCTTCCAGTCCGAGGGGGAGTCTGCTTTCAAGCACTGTGAACTAGATAAAAACCAGGTAACCATGTAGATTTGGTTTTCTAATAAATGATAAAGGAATTTTTGCCGCAATCTTAAATTTTCTAAACCCTAAATCTTTGCATTTTTAAGGTGTAAACCTTTGATATCAAACTTAGATTATTTGATAAAACAGATTTCACAGTAAAAGTAAAAAATCAAAAGTATAATTACTTTGTTTATTTATGTTTCTAAGGAACTAGGCTTTTTTCTATTTCAATTGTGAACATTTTCTCTTTGTATACATTCTAAAACAAAACAAAACAAAAAATTTCGCGGATTTTATGAAAAAAATTTCGTGGATGGATTTCTTAAATTTGAAATTTTTAAATTAAAAACATGAGGTCCCACACAAAATTTGCGCCCCATCGGTTCAGCCGTTTTGACGTTTATTGGAAACAAACAGACAGAAAATCAAGACAGTCAAGCCAAGTTTATATATAGATTGAGTCTTTGCCACAAATTTAAATTTTCTTATCTCTATCTATATCTTTGCAACCTGATAGTAATTTCAAACTTAGACTATTGATCTAACAGAATTCATAGTTTGAAATATCTAAGGTCTTATGACTTTGGGGTGCAGAGGTCTAGGGAATAGAAAATTTGAGTTTGTGACTAAGATTTAATTCCTTTGATTTAGTAGAATTCATATTTATAAATATAAAATGGCATCAAGTAGCTTCAAATTCATATATTTGTAGTATTAGTTTCTGCAATAGTTGTTTAGTTATTATAAACTGCAAAATACAAAAAATTAATTTTTAAAAATATTTTCTATTTTGCAGAGGAACTGTATAGAGTTTGCTCTGAACGCTAAACCTGTCCGTAGATATATACCCAAGGTAGATATTTTTTTTATTTTTTTGAATCAGCCCCCCACCCCCCCCCCGGAATTTTTTCATCCTTTTTCAAACTTTTTACCCATTTTTTTATTTTCCCTTGAAAATCATTTATTTTCCCCAATTTAGTGAATAAAAACCTGAAAACATTTTTGCACTACTTCTGGGGGATAATAATGATTTTCGTATTCTATCAACGCCAAACCAATGGGCGCGATCTTGTATGCTACTGATGTCAACACTGTAACTAGCTATTAAACTATCAATGCCAAACCAATGGGCACGATCTCATAAGCTATAAATGTCAACCAGACACTAGCTCGTATTCTATCAACGCCAAACCAATTGGTGCGATCTTGTCAGCTGTCGATGTCAACACGGACACTAGCTAGTAATCGATTAATGCCAACCAATGGCCATGGATCTTAGCTCGTATGTTTCAATGATATTCGATTACTCTCTTGCTGCAATCAAGTCGGAGTCTCTATATTAACTAAGTATATTTTCTAGACGTTAGATTAAAGTTAGGTTTTAACAGCGTAATTACAAGTTATGCACTGTTATATATAACGTAGTTAAGCACAATATTAGCATGACGGAGTTATATATATCTACGTATCTAGATTGGTTTAAGCGCAACACATAATTTACATATTTATTACATGTATATAAATTTAATTTCAAAATATATTTTTAGAACCCTATACAGTACAAGCTGTGGGCCTTTGCTACCTCTCCCGCCTGTGAGTACACCGTCTTTATTGCCATTATGGCAAACACCCTCTCATTGGCCATGAAGTTTTATAAACAACCACAGGTAGATACCCTTCATACCTTACATTTAATTCAACTTTTCAGTTAATAGGACTGTAAGCGTAATTTAAAACGACCCGACATTCAAAGGTGACAATGGCAGATTAACAACGGTACCCTTGAAAATCTTATCTGATCAATGTGGAAGATATTTTTGATTTTCTTGGTTTAAACTTGTTTAAGTGGGATAATTTCTAAATGATTTCCTGCAGGAGAAATGCGCAAGTCACTTTTGTTGAGGAACCACAAGTAAATATAACTAGTTTTCAAAATTATAAAAGTTGATATGATTCATATTTGATCATGCAAAGCTTTTAAGGGTACCGTTGTGACTCGGGCCATGTCATCTTAGCATGAAGGGTCTTTTAAAATTACGCGTACAGTCCCTTTCAAAGCACAATAATTATAATGTTTTTATTTTGCATTGTTATTGTATTTAAATAAAAAACATCTGTATAATGCAAGCTTTTTTGAATTAAAACAATTATTTTATAATTTTGATCATTGCTAAAACTTTTCAATTACTGACATATTTAGTTGTACACTGAAGTGCTCGATGTTTTCAATATTCTATTCACTGTTTTCTTCACCTTGGAGTTTATTCTCAAACTGGGGGCCTTTAGGTTTAAGGTGATAGTAATAATAATAATATTAATAATGATAGTAATATATTTAAGATATAAAGATTGCGTTTAATTGGAAAAATTATTAACAGAAAAATTTTCTTTTAATTGAATTGAATTTTATTTTTAAAATTAAAATTATCATGGTTTGAAAATATACTTAGACTGCAGTTCTTGAATACAAATTTCGTGAATTACTCAAATCTCATATTTGTAGAATTATTTCGGTGATCCTTGGAATTCATTTGATTTTGTTATTGTACTCGGATCCCTCATTGATATCGGCATGGCGCAGCTGAATGTAAGTATTTCCCGCCATATTCTAACACAATGTCGTCTTTTCAGAACTATTTTGCGGATCCATGGAACACATTCGATTTTGTGATCGTTTTTGGCAGTATTATAGACATAACATATAGTGAACTTAATGTAAGTTTGTCAATTTTCTCTTTTTTTTTGGACCTAATCCTTTCTCAGAAAAAAGCTTTATGGAAAAAGCATATAACTTATAACTTATAACATTTTAACCTCAAAGCATATATTTTCGAGGAAAACCAAAGACACTAACTTCTGAATTTCTAATTTCTTGACATATAACCCAATGAGACAGGGGTTTAGAGCACCTGCATTAAAAAGAGATGTAACTAAAATTGGTAAATAATGCCAATCTAGTTACACCGGAAGCATACAAAAGGCCAAATTTCTAGTACATACAGGGTTACTCACAAAGGCTGAGACTGTGAAGACGACCGGAAACTTTTAAAATGTAATGATCTCAAGGTTAAATTGTGTATTCTGTCCTAAATATAGTAATTTATAATTTGGTAAATAAACAAACATGTTTTCGCACAATTGCTGTAAAGTAAAGATTTCGTACAATAGTCTGTGAAGTGGTATCCCTGTCTGTACTATTCGATGCATGTACATTTACAGAAATAACAATTAAAAATTACCTTTTTTGTCCTTGCTGCATATAACACGGTGTCCAAAAAAAGAGTGATACGGGTTAAAAACATTTTTTCGTCTAAATAACATACTTTGCCAAAATAACATATTTTGCCAAAATAACATATTTTGCCAATATAACATATTTGGCCAATATAACAAATTTGGCCAATATAACATATTTGGAAAAAATAACATATTTTGCCAAAATAACATATTTTGCCAAAATGAAAATATTTGCGTACATGGATCTAAGACTTTTAAAGGCAAAAAGGCTCCAAAACATTTTTTATTGGCACTCTATATGTGAAAGGAGTATTTTTTATTCAATCTTTGCATTTTGATTCTAGTTAATTAGATTTCTGAACATTAGGTTTAGATAAGTAGGTTGGCAGAATCTAATTTGTTGTACATTTGCTAATTGCAATACAAATCCAAATTCGAGATTTAATCTCAATTCGGGTTTCCAAGCTTAGCCACAAAAATAGTTAGGGAAAACTTTAGTTTTCTAATTATTTTTATTCTCAGTCTTACAGAGATGTTATTTTAATTTTAAATTAGTATCATCATTATGTTTCTTGCAGTAACAAGTTTAGCATATTGTCACCAAAATAGTTTAATCGGTGCGTCACGTACAGAAAATGTTACATCTATATTCAAAATATTATCTTTACAAGGGACTTTTATCAATACAGTGTCCGAATTTAATGAATTTAAGCCGCGTCTCAAATACCACAAAAACCAGTTTTAATTGAGCAACGGTTTAAAAATTGAATACAATTTCAAGTGGAACCAACCATATTTGAGCCACGTCTTAAATTTAAGCCGTGGAGCAAATTCTTTAAATTCGGCCTCAGATGTTCTATACAAAGTGATACTTATGTACCACCATGGGGCCCAAAACCTTTATATCAATGAAAGCCAGTATCGGAAACCCGGTTTCATGAATGGGGTCGGGCAGTATCTTGTGTATCAATATTTTTGTTAAAAAATATTATTTTATACGATTTCTTTATAGTTTATACATTCATTTTTGTATTATAAGCTATGACTACTGAAATTAAAATTTTCTTAAATATATAGATTCCAAAAAGTTATAATATTAATTAAAAAGCGTATAAATTATTTTACCTATTAATTTGTATTTAAAGATATATTTTCAATTCAAACCTTAATTGTGTAAGTAATTGCAACTGTATGCCAATAGCATTTACAATATATCTGAAAAATAGTCTTTCTGGTGTTAATTATTGTTATAACAACTTTATTTGAAGGATATTAGCCTGCAATCTGCATGTTATCAATTAATTGTTCTTATTTTAGCCTGGCAATGATAATATGATATCTGTCAGTTTCTTCCGATTGTTCCGAGTAATGAGGCTCGTTAAACTTCTTTCAAAGGAACCAGTCTCATTGATAAATCAATTTTTTAAAATGTTGCTATTTTGAAGAAAGGAATTGAGTCCTTGTCACAAACTCTGATTTTCTAATCCCTATAGTTTTGCAACACAATGCTGTAGAGTATAGACCTTTGATATTTTAAACTATGAATAGCTTAACTCTAGATCACTAATTAAGAAAAATGGGTCTGAGCTTGAAACTTTAGAATGGTGGATAGCGAGATTAATGCTTAATCCTGTCTTTTTGCTAATCTCGAGCTAACATAATCTCGAGATTATGTTAGTCTCGAGATTAAATATTTAGATCAACAAATTTGATTCTAGGAACACAATATTTGTTCGTTTTTTTTTGACTGAAAGTCCTTCACTTAATTTCTCACCCATTTATTTATTATATTATTAGTTAAAATAAGTTAAAAAAGAATCTCAAACGTATTATTAAATATTTTTCTTCACCGATTAATTTACAAAATGGCCGACAACATATTCTTTATTTGCGGATTTCTCTCATGGGATAGAATTTATTTTCAAGGCTGTCATTGGTCAATACAATTTACGAACTATATTCCTGCACTCTCATTGGAGAAAACAATGTACGGATATCCAAAGAGAGAGAAAAAGAGTGGATTAAGGACTAAAATGAAAAGCTTCCACAGTGGATATTAGAATTAAGTAGTTGGGATTATAGGTTATCCAATCCATTCTAAAGTTCCCAGCTCGGTTTACACTGCTCAATTACCGTGTCTCATGTTAATTGGACTATTATAAGTTAAAACTTGAGTCTAAAGTCGTCCTTTTATATCAGAGTTTTCTAGTTATCACTATATGATCTGCACAGAACAATCAACAGATTTTATACATTACAGTTTGCGCTTTTTACATCTTATTTGTCGTACAGTACAAGATGAGATAGCTTAATATCAAAGTAACCTTTAATAAATATGGGAGGAAATCTTTATTTCTTTATCGTTGAATTTACGCGGAGTTAAATAAAATAAATTTAGACTTCAACTATGTTTAAAGATCATTGTTAATGAGATTATGAGCTCGTAAAAAATTATGATTCTCTTAAATTAGGTTAATTTCCAAATTGAATATGGTTAAAAATGAGCTGGTTTGCATTAGGGAGAGGGGATTCGAACACTTCTCTGGACTTTTATCAAATCTTTTCAAGCGTTGCCATGGGTCGCTCTGCTTATAGCTCTTATTTTCTTTATTTATGGAGTTGTAGGGATGCAGGTAAAAGAAAAAGCTTATTTTAATTTAAAGGGACTGTAATCGTATTTTCAATATGCCAATTCACGATTCACAAATGTACCCTTAAAAGTTTTGTCTGGTCAAGTATGAATTATATATGAATGTTTATAATTTTCAACAGTGTTTATTTACAATTTGAATTTCTTGCGCATTCATACCGCAGGAAAAATAATCATTTTCAGACCTCGAATAACGATGATACAGGGTGTCCCATTAAACATGGGAATTCAGTGACGAATTCGATATCGTCTTTTTAAATAATTCTTTGATTTAGTATAGTGATACCTACTAAGAAAGCTGTAATCTGTAAGAGTTTCGTCTGCTATGTTCACATTATGTTTGTTTATGTTTTGACTGAATACGGTTGTACTTAGTAAAACAAGAAAATTACAGCATACAAGCAGAGTAAACTTGTCCGTCTTCACTGTTCATCTTGCGAAGACATCATAGAGACATCTTTACAGTCTTTTACCTTTTTCATAAAATAAACTCTAGCAGACATACTAATATTATGGTTTTAGAAATCAGGTATTACAATGCTAATTCATAACAAAGACGATATCGAGTTCGTCACTGAATTTCCATGGTAATCTTGGCATAGATGATCACTTTAAACTAGAAATATAAATTTGTTCTGTTAGGTGTTTGGAAAGATTGCACTACAGGAGGGAACAGAAATTCATAGAAATAATAATTTTCAAACCTTCCCTCAGGCCCTTCTCGTTCTATTCAGGTAGTTTTAAAACTAATATTATATTTTTTTTAAATATTGCAAACTTAAGTTAATTGAAAGAGTTTTTAATTAAAATTTTTCGCGAAATTATGCGAAAAAGAATTCCGCGAAAAGCAATAATGAACAGACCGTCAGAGATTAAAAATTTGTGATTATTTTTTTTCATTTTTTTTCTGATTTCTAACAATCCATTTTGTTTGGTTCAGGTCTGCTACTGGTGAAGCTTGGCAAGAGATAATGTTAGATTGTATTCACAAACCTGAAGCACGCTGTGATCCTAAGTCCGATGACAAAGGTAAATATAAACCTAACTTATCTAAAGGGTTAAAGGGAGTGTTTGCAAAAAATGAAAGGGGGTTTAACGCCTTATACCCAGAGATTGAACACAAATAAATTCACCGAATTGCATTATTCACAAAAGTCAATTAAATTTAAAACAGTTTATTCTAATATTACAAGTTGTATACGTCGAATTTAATTCGGGGCATTCCTATGCAGTTTGCATAGCATAATTTTTTCATATAAATGATGTATTGGTACAGAATAATCAGACATTGAAAAAATCTACCAAGAATATTGGTTTAATAGTTTAAAAAATGTATTGATTATTAATGAACGCCAAGGGGATTAAGCAGCAAAGTAACTTATAAGATTTGACTGTATTTCCACCAGCCAAAACCAAACTTTCTCGTAAGTTTTCCTTGTATTAAACTGCATATAAACAAACGTTGAACTTCCTTGTAGAGAAAAAATCTTCCTCTAAAGATGTTTAACTGCCTTTTTCTGAATCAGATATACTTACGAGGAAGTTTGGGTTTTGTTAGTGGAAAAACAGTGAATAGAATTGCCTTTATTTCTACTCTAGGTAACCGCCAAACAAGTTCTCTGAAAAAAATTTTCAGAAATTAAGTCGTAAATTTTGGTACAAAAAAGTCCTAGAAATAAAGAATCTGGAAATAAAGTCCTACCTTTTTGATATTTTATTTCCTAGAACATTTCTCTGGTTCCAAATTTTAATTTGTTCCCAAAAAATAGTCCTCTTTTAGTGGAAAATGCATGGGAACAAAGGATGTTCACAACCATAAAAAGAGACTTGATGTTAAAAACACCCCTGGCTGTATTCAATATGCAGATGCATAAAAGAAAAGTCTTTTTTATGAAAACGTCTCAGACTTGACCACCGATAACTAAACTTTCGGTGCATTCTGAAGTAGTTTGCAGCACAATGACAAAATGTATAGTAGCGTTTAATGGAAAGTTTGACCTCAGTTTCATGACTTATGACTTTAATTCCTGTGATCTTATTTCCTGAGACTTTATTGGCAGCCCCCATATTATTATAGGCAACAAAATCCCAGAAATCTAATTTTTCCTAGGACTTCAGAAAACAAAATTTTCCAGTAACTTTCTTAAATAGATTCTATTTCTAGACCCTGATGGTCTGGGTTGTGGGACAGATGTTGCATACTTCTATTTCATTTCCTTCTTCGTTGTCTGCAGCTTCCTAATCCTCAATCTCTTCGTCGCGGTCATTATGGACAACTTCGACTACCTCACCAGGGACTGGTCCATTTTAGGTATGAAGAAATTCTTTACTATTTAGATTTTTTCTGCTTTTTAAAAATTCTAAATTTAAAATTTAAAAAATATTTAAAATTTAGGTGTAATTTTAATTCAGAAAGCTACCCTTTAAATATTTGTCTGAGATACAATTTGGTGAAAGTGTCCACATTTTTAATCTGAAAATGTTGTATATTCACACATAATTGAAATAAAATTTTTTTTTTCTTGTTGAGTTACGTTATAAAAGTAAAATGAATGCTGCTCAAATTTAGAAACCGGAATTGTCCAATATTTATGAACTTAATTCTGATATTTTGGAAAACATTGAAGTTGATTTAAAAGATTGAATTTCAAGCATGAGAGAAAATAAAAAGATTAGATTAACTAGGATTTTATTAATTATTAACTTCTGTAAAGGGAAGTAAAGGGAATTTAATTTTACTTGTTTCAGGGCCCATCATTTGTTTTATTTTACTTGTTTCAGGGCCCCATCATTTGTTTTATTTTACTTGTTTCAGGGCCCCATCATTTGTTTTATTTTACTTGTTTCAGTGCCCCATCATTTGTTTTATTTTACTTGTTTCAGGGCCCCATCATTTGTTTTATTTTACTTGTTTCAGGGCCCCATCATTTGTTTCATTTTACTTGTTTCAGGGCCCCATCATTTGTTTCATTTTACTTGTTTCAGGGCCCCATCATTTGTTTTATTTTACTTGTTTCAGGGCCCCATCATTTGTTTTATTTTACTTGTTTCAGGGCCCCATTTGTATTATTTTTCTTGTTTCAGGGCCCCATTTGTATTATTTTACTTGTTTCAGGGCCCCATCATTTGGACGAATTTGTCCGACTGTGGTCTGAGTATGATCCAGATGCGAAGGTACGTTATTTGATTCTATACAGTCGTCGTCGTAAATATCAATACAATGAAGACGACTTTCGATATAATATTTGATTTCTAACAAGCTTTAAATACAGGGTGTCCCACGAAACATGAAATTTGATAAATAGTTATTTTTAGGTAAACAAATCTTTTGCTTAATTTTATTTTACTTTGCAATCAATTTTAATATAACATGACTCCGTTATAATATTTTTATTGATCTTAGGTATCAAACAACTGAAAAATTAATGGAAAAAGACATCCTAAACTATTCATCAACTGTCATGTTTCGTGGGACACCCTGTAGCAGAAACACGTTAGCATTTAAACAAAGAGAAGTTGCCAATTAACAGCTTTTCCCTATTTACTTGTAAACTTGTAATTTGGAAAATTTATTGGATAGTAGGGAAGTGTGGATCAGATTGGGAAGGATTGGATGGTAGGTAAGAGTGAATTGAATTGAGAAGGATTGGATGGTTGGGAAGTGTGGATTAGATTGGGAAGGATTGGATGGTAGGGAAGGGTGGATGTGATTGGGAAAAATGAGATGTTAGGGAATGGTGGATCAGACTGGGAAGGATTGGATGGTAGGGAAGTGTAGATTAGATGGGGAAGGATTGGATGGTAGGGAAGTGTGGATTGGATGGTAGGGAAGTGTGGATTAGATGGGGAAGGATTGGATTGTAGTGAAGGGTTGATATGATTGACAGGATGCTAGAGAATGTTAGAACTAAATTAGAAGAATGAATATGCATAATCTGAAGATTGACAAGTTTTCTAGGAAATACGAAGAAACAATTGTTTTAATTTATTTGAGATTGATATTTAAAAAACTTTGCTAGGAAATAAAACAACGAAATATTTGTAAGGTACTTAACAAATTTATAAAAATTATATGACAAATAAAAAATGTTCAATCCCAATATTTTTGCAATCTGAAGTTTTAAGCCTTTATTATTCTTATAGCTTTGTTTATTTTATCTAACAAAATTCATAGTTTTAAATATCTATTGTCTTTGACATTGGGTTGCAAAAATATAGGGATTAAAAAATTAGAGTTTGTGACAAATACACAATTCTTTTGCTAATCTTTGCAATTTGATGTCATTGATTTTAGATATTAAAAAATCTACCAGATCAAATAGTTTCAGTTTAAGATATTATAAAGACCTTTTTCATAATTCTATTTCAGGAGTTTTCACAATAATGCTTCACAATGTCTGCAAGAGTTATTTATTCTTATTTTAGGGTCGAATAAAACATGTGGATGTGGTAACACTTCTACGGAAAATATCTCCACCCCTGGGCTTCGGCAAACTTTGCCCTCATAGAGTAGCATGCAAAGTAAGATTGTTTTTAATAACCAACGTCGAAAGATTTTTTTTATTAAATTTTTTCGTTCCAAAATTATTTAAAACTTAAAAATAAACTTAAACTGGAGATAAACATAGAAACGATAAGAGAATTAAAATAAAAATATGCTTTGTAGGAAATTTGGGAATTTTGGGAGTCATTAAAAAGTTATTGTTACGCTGACCAATGATATTCCAGAAAAGTTGGAAGGAGAAATATGTTGCCAAGAGGGATATAAATTTGTTATTTTTTATCCCGGGAAGCCAGTCCTAAATATACATCTAAATAAAAGAATTGCTGCTAAGATTGTGTTATGGCATAAAGCTATCAACGTTTTTTTCAAAAATATGTTTTAGAGACTGGTAGCCATGAATATGCCGTTGAAAGCAGACGGAACTGTGGAGTTTCGAGCAACCCTATTTGCTGTGATCAGGAAACTTTCAAAATGTTAAAGTCATATAACAGTAAAGATAGAACACTATAGAAGTCGTCTTTTTAAGTTTTAGGGTGTTTTCGTTCACAATAAACCTGAGGCAGAAGCGCAAAGGAGTTATAGAACAGGCTCTTTGTCTCTGTATTGTAATTCAACGCAGCATGCGCGGAATTCCTTTGGGCTTCTGCCTCAGGGTTATTGTGAAAAAAACACATAAATCTTGAAAAGACGATATGTAGTGTTCTCTCTGTAAAATTATTAATCTATGGTAAAAGTTTTATTTCTCTCGTGCGGCGTAGTTTTAAACTTTTGATAGGGTTTCTTTCCAACTTTGAGTGATGCATATTAAACCTCATAAAGATGCAGTTTGCTATACACTATACAGCTTTTCTCACATTTTCTTTAACTTTTAAGATTAAAGGGACTGTATGCGTAAACCTCATAAAGATGCAGTTTGCTATACACTAGACAGCTTTTCTCACCCTTTTCTTTAACTTTTAAGATTAAAGGGACTGTATGCGTAAAGTATGAATTAGAAATCAATGATTTTGTTTCTTTAAACTGTTTATTTCCGTTTCCGGTTTCTCTGCAAAAATGTCTTTATAAGAAGCAATGGAGAAACTCACGTAAATGAACACTTTTCGAATAAAAAACGACTGTATCTTCCACATTGTTGATAAGATTAAGGTTTCAAGAGTTTACCGTTGTAAATCGGATATGTATTTTTGCAAGAAGGGTCACTTGAAATTTAAAGATTAAAGTTCTTGAAAGTTTTATCTAAAATATGAACACAAAAAACAACATTTGAAAAGGGGAAATAATATTGAAAAAAAGAGTTTCGAAAACAGCGAAAAAAAATCAAATATTAAAGAAGATTCATTTTGAATGGTAATTTAGAACATCATTAAAAATCAAAATGGACGGACCAATCGATCAATGCAATCATGAACTGCGAGCTATAATGCGTAAGATTTGGAAACGAACCCCAGAGAAGATCCTTGATAGTGTGGTCCCTCCTCCTGGAGACGGTAAGATTATAAACTTGACTCAAACTTTTCTTATCCCTATATCTTTGAAACCTATATTTCAAACTATGAGTACTGCTATATGAGCTCAAACGTTTACAAAATCTGGGTGCTAAGGTTCAGTACAGGAAGTAAAACGGCAGCAGAGCCCAAAGTTTAAGACCCGGGTTTCGTAAACTTTTTCATTTGATTAGTCTTACTATTTTCTAATTGTTTCATTAATATTAACATACATGTAAAGACCCCCAAAAAGGAAACTTGAGAGTTGCATTCAAAGATATTCTCTTAAATTTCCGGCCCAGCCAAGATTTCAGTTCTATTTCTGTAAAGAATAAAATAGAATGAAGCGATTAACGATGAAAAATTGATCTTTTTCAGAAGATGAAGTGACCGTGGGAAAATTCTATGCGACATTTCTTATTCAAGATTATTTCAGGTTAAACATAAATACGAACAGAGCTGGGAACTTTTGAATGACCGATAACGGTATTAATGCTTGATCCACTCTTTTTCTTAATTTCGAGATTAAATAAAGCTTGTTCTCCCCTTATTTTTAAACTCCAGATTAATTAACCGATCGGGATTAAGAGTATTCCATTGAATTGTGGATATCCAGATTTTAATGTTTGATCTTTCCTTTTTTATTAATCTCAAGATTAATTTAATCTTTAGTTTGTATTCTAGAATTTGTATAAAATTAAACCAATCAGTGTCTAACAATCCGATTGCCTAGAGATTTTAAAGATTTTCATTGGTCGTAAGCCAGCAGGGATATCAAAAAGAGAGGATTAACAATAAAATCAAAAGTTTCCACGTAGTGGATATTTAGATAAGCGAATGGGATTAAGGGTATCCAATTCTAAAGTTTTCAGCTCAGTATTCATATATTTGTAAAATGTTTATATTATATATATACAAACATAGTTCTAATGTTTATTTATGTACAATGTACTCTCTCACATCATCTGATTCCCTCGAACGGTATACAGGGTTACCCACAAACGATGATACTGCAAAGACGAGCTAAATATTTTAAAACTTTTAGAATATAACGATCTTAAATATACGAACACAGACAGTATAAAAATATATATTCGGTATTGCCTTCTCTAATGTGTGTTATCTTTTGTGGGTAACCCTGTATATCATATTAATAAAAGTATATTACTTTCTACACTACAATATATATTCTTCTTGATCCAGTTAAGCATCTCAACGACAATATTAAATTTTCTTTTTTTCTGATATTTTTTTGCTGCAATGTTAAAGGGTTCGATTATTTATGATTTTAAAGGACTTTAAGAGTAATTTCAAATGACCCTCCATGCAAAGATGGCAATTCTCGATTCACAACGGTACCTTTATCCCTAATCCCGATCGGTTAATTAATCTGGAGATTAATAACAAGAGGAAAACAAGTGTTTTTTAATCTCGAGATTAAGAAAAAGAGTGGATCAAGCCTTAATCCCGATGTCCACCATTCAAAAGTTCCCAGCTCAGGTTTCATTTACATTTGCGGTTTCTCTACAACAAATACTTGCGCATTTATTGTGTCTAGAAAACAACGGAGAAACTATCATAATAAACATTTTTCGAGTAAAACAAACGACTGCATCTTCCATATTTTTTCCTTTTGATTTATCATGCGTTCTTATTGTCTGAATTGTTCAGGAGATTTAAAAAGAAGAAAGAGACAAGGTTAGCTGTTGAACGTCTGGAACTTGAGGAGGAAACCACCGTGTCTTTACAGGTCAATAATGGATTATCTCGTAGCTTTAACGCAAACTTAATATTTGCCTTATATGATTTGTTTTAGGGTTAGTCCCTCAACTTAGAGCTATTACAGTCCAATATGATGTGGGACACCCTGTATAAGAATATAATAAATGAAACCCTATAAAAGACGACATTCATAACTTTTAGAGTTATGAAACTGTTAACCCATGCTATTCCACCGTAAGCAGTTAAAATTTCTCGACATCTAATTATCTAACATCATTTAATCCCTAAATACATATTTGTGTTTTATGTCGTTTTAAAGCAAATTGTTTTGCTAGTAGCTTAAAATAAATTATAAAGTGAAATGGTCTGTGCACACTACACAATTAAATTTTCTGGTTTTTAGAATTGGTTTTTGTTTAGGCTGGTTTAAGAACCCTCCATGAATCTGGACCTGAGCTAAAGAGAACTATATCGGGAAACCTAGATGACCATGCTGAGGTCAGTACTTACTCACACTGCTGGTTAAAGATTCAGGAAGGATTTGAATCGGTGAATTGGAAAATTTGTGTTTGTGATAAAAACAGAGCTGAGATTTTTAAAGCTTAAACCCGAGTAAAACCCGGTCTTATCGTCTACTTAGACCCAAGTAAAGCGAAAGTCAAGACTTGGGTTTTGGATAACCTTGAGTTTAGTAAAAACCAACTGCCTTGAGTTTTTCGCTCTTTAAGGCTCGGGTCTTCAAAAGCTGATGATAGTAAATTTCGTAAAACTATTATATATGTACATTTAAAATCTCGGGAATTATTTGTAATGTCAAATTTGATCAAAGGTATGAAATAAACATACTATGAAGTTCGAATTTTCAAAATGTACACCTCCTTGTCACAGCTGATCTATCTGCTTCTGAGAGAAAGCTTTCTAAGCAGTCTCTCATTGGTCGAATTAGAACCAATCCTGACTTAGGTTCTATCTGAGCCCAACTCTGGGTTTTACTCAGGATTAAGCTTTTAAAATCTCATCTCTGAATTCTAATTTAGGTTGAGCTTGAACCCAATACCAGAAGGAATATTCCATTCTTTGGCAGCATGTTATCTAGTATGAAACGAAAAGCAAGCGTAAGGCAGGATATAGAATCAGAATTTCAGTGTTTATTTTAAAATTTCTTTTTTAAACTTTATTTTAAAACATCCTATTGGGTACAGAGCATATTAACAAATCTATTTTAATTCTTCTTGTCATCTATTTTTACTCCTTTCTTCTCCATGTTTTTCTTTTGATGACTCTCCCCTACCAGCAATTTGAAAAAAAAAGTTTTTTTTACGAAACCCTGCAGAGTTGCAGATATTCTTTACATAATTATTTCAATAATAAAAATTTTCTATTTGATTTGGCAGTATCTTTTGCATTGGAAAAACGTATAGATGTATGTGTTCTCAGTAACAACAATTTAAGAAATGTATTAGTAACATTTCGAGAATTATGAAATAAATTGCCCAGCCTTGCTAGGTTAATCATAGTTACTCCCACCGTTTACCCGCACTGTTCTTAAATCTGGATTTTCGCGGACGTATAATCTTAAAAATTCCATTTTTTAGCCTATGTCAAGTGTACCCATGGAATCCCTTAAAAAATTCAGCCAATTTGGTCCAGCCGTTTGGCCTACAAGCTTTTTTTACACAATCTAAAATTTCTGATTACTTATGTTTGATAGAAACAATACTAATGGCAATGGAAACAGTTTACCACATGCTAGAGTCTGTCCCAGCCATGATACTTTCAATACTTACCTCACACCTCAGGAGTAAGTATATTTTCTTCTATGCAATACTTACCTCAAACCACAGGAGTAAATTTTTTTTATTTTATCCAATACTTAGCTCATACCACAGAAGTAAGTATATTTTATTTTATTCAATACTTAGCTCATACCACAGGAGTAAGTATATTTTATTTTATTCAATACTTAGCTCAAAACACAGGAGTAAGTATATTTTATTTTATCCAATACTTAGCTCAGATCACAGGAGTAAGTATATTTTCTTTTATTCAATACTTAGCTCAGATCACAGGAGTAAGTATATTTTCTTTTATTCAATACTTAGCTCAGATCACAGGAGTAAGTATATTTTCTATTATTTAATACTTAGCTCATACTACAGAAGTAAGTATATTTTCTATTATTCAATACTTAGCTCATACCACAGAAGTAAGTATATTTCTATTATTCAATACGTATTTCAAAGAAAACACCAAAATTCTCACAGTTTTACAATTCCTTACCACAACTAAGATAATTTAAAGAGACAAGAATTTGAGATGCAAATCCTATTTCAAATTTGCATGTTTTATAAGTTTTCGCATAATTTCAATATGCAAAATTGTGACTCTCACCATAGATTTTAATCAAACAAGTTTTTAAAACAGTTAGTAAAATTGTTATAAAACAATTAGTAAAATTATTTTGTAAAATTGTTTTGTAAAACTGTTCTGTAAAATGGTTTTGAAAAATCGTTTTGAAAAATCGTTGTGGTTAAAATCTTAGATTAATGTAATATAAGCAAACTTATCGCGATTATAATTTTCCAATGTGATGAACAATTGACATACTTGTGGAGCTATCGGTCAGCTGATAGTTTTTATAAACTAAACTAAAGACATATTAAGGTCAGTCGACTGTACGTATACCAGGATGACACCCGTTAAGCTAGCAAACAATGGAAACTATGAAACTCAAAATAGGTAAATTATATAAAGTTTGTATGATTTTTCCAATGACTTTCTTTTTCTCAACATAAACATAAACACTGAAGAGTGATATTACATTTGTCCGTATGTTTTTTTACTAACAAAATTAAGGGTTATGATTCTAAAATATCTTTCAGTGCACCAACATTATTTTTAAAATAAACAAAAAAATATGCTGTTTATCTTAAGTTAAGTATTTGAAAATTATTTGCTTTTTAATGCTTTTTACTCAAAATATCATTGTAAGGACATTTTTTATTTTTTTTAAAGAATTTTCTATACTTTTAATTCTATATTTAAACCTTATTTTTCCTAAAGATAGAAGTGCAATTTTAATTTTGGTGAAATTAAACTAATTGTTCTCCAGCTGCTCCTCCTACTCTGGTCCTGCCACGCCCCCTGGGGATGGTGAGGAAGAGTATGGGAGTGTATTCCTTGACGTTGTATCCGGTACTGCGCATTGGTCCCCAGAGATACCACATCGCGCTCTTACTCCAGATAGAATAATGGGCACTATCTTCCTGGGACGTTTGACATTCTGTAAGCTCTAATCCCGGTCTTTAAAGGGACTGTAAGCGTAATTTTAAGTGTCCGTCCATGTAACAATTGGAATGCCTGATTTACAACAGTACCCTTGAAACCTTAATCTGATCAAAAGTGTGAAAGATACTGTCGGGTTTTCTGACTAGAACAGTGTTTCTCCGTCGCTTCTTAAAAACAAGAAATGCGCAAGTTACTTTCGCAGAGAAACCGCAAACAGTTTAAAGAAACAATAAAAAAATGATATCTAATTCATATTTGATCAGACATAGCGTTCAGGGTATCGTTGTAAATCGAACATTGCCATCTTTGCATGTGGGGTCATTGGAAATTACGCTTACAATTCCTTTAAACCAGCAAATTGTATTAAATATTTCTGTTGGAAACAACTTCTCCATATTGTTAAACAAAGTGTAACAAGAAGTTTTTTCTTTAGTTTTAAATATTAAAAATTAATTACAGAAATAAGTTTTGAATGGTTTGCTGGTTGATACAGCGCATATTCTAACACAAATTTAGAATATTCACTGTTCTCTTGATGTTTGATGTTAATCAGTGTATAGATTTAAAAGTATTGTAAACGTTTAATGTTAGATTCACAATGGAACCCATTAAACCTATTTCCGATCATCGTTAAAAAAGAACTCCTTATACGTTGTAAACTCCATGCATCACTATGGTTAGTAGGGTAATGAACGTAATGTTAAAAAATATCAAATCACATCCACATTTAAATCAAAATATGGGGGTTTTTTTTTTTTGGGGGGGTGGGGTTTAGGAAATTGGCAACTCTCAAATGCTTTCATTTCAAATTTAAAATCACCAAACAAAACATATGTTTAAAAAATTTGGGACAATTGTTACTGCTTTTTCTGAAAACTATCGTAGGGGAAAGATAGAAACATGCACCCGGGACTCAATATTCAGCAAAAAAACAAGGGAATTTTCCATTTTCATTGATATTCAGGCAAAGGATTAAAGGTTACGGTTGTGTTTCGGACATACCATGTCAAATGACGTCTACAGTACCTTTTGGGAGACACCTCTACTCCTTCATACCCCCCCACCCTCTATCCCCTACCCCCTACCCTTCTACCCTTTACCATCCAAAATATATTCTTCTATCCTGTTCTTTATTGTATTCCTTGTTTACTACTTGGAACGTAGATTATTAAAGGACTGTATAAGCGTATTTATGTGTCTCTCTATGTAAAGAGGGAAATGCCCGATTTACAACGGTACCCTTACAACGGAGTACGGAGATATGTGTGTGTAAATTTATTGAAATCCGCTTGTATTTAGCTGAAAATTCAAGTGTGAGTTACGTACAGTTTGAACTCAATACAGCGCACACTTGAATTTGGCTAAATAATTAATACAGAAGGGGTTCGATGCGTTAAAACACAAATATCTCTGTACTCCACGAAGACACAAAGGTTTTAAGGGTAACATTGTAAATTAGACATTACCCTCTTTGCATGTCCATCTACAGTATCGGTGCACATATAAAATACACATAGATGATGATAATGTTTTTAAATGTTCTTGACCTTCCACCTTCTATTTATCACAAGCACTCTTAGTATATACTAGGGCTTCCAATCGGAATTCCGTTGCGCGGAATTACGCGGAATTCTGTAGAATTACGTGGAATTAAAATCCACTTGGAAACCCTACTCTACACTCAACAAACCAAACTACTGTAAACAAAACATTTAGAGTCACACGGTTTTACTTTTCTTTTTTAAGCTATTAATTAATATGTTTTGACCTTTTTCAATGTTGGTGGCCAAGAAAATAGGTTGCATGCTTATATTTGCTTTAAGGTTTGTAAAATGGTGTAACATATATTTTAAAATATATGATTTTTTTAGCATATACTCCTCTCAAAACGTGTAAACAACATCATTTTAAACACGCACAAAGATCAGTTTTTTAATCAAGAAAATATTAAAATATATTTATTTGATACATACAGTTTAGAGATAGATGAATAAAAAAAAAATATTTAAAATTTAAAATTTTGTTACAAATTTAAGTGACTGATTGGAAAGAATAGAATTTTCTTTAAGGACAAGCTGAAAAAAAATATTAACTGATTGCAGGATGCCCCGGGTTTACCTTACACGCAACGATGTACAGTTTGGTAGGTTTAGAACTTTCTAGAAAAATGTTATAGATTTAGATCTATCTTGTTAATTGAATAGTTAGATAGGGTATAAAAGGTGTATTTAGAAGCCAAAAGTTTGTATTACGAAAGGTTTATTTGATTGAACAAAAAACTTAATCATTAAAGGCGGAACTTGTGTGTAAAGCATCTTTAATCTTGAACTCAATATTTAACGTGGGCATTTTAAAGTTTCAGGATCAATGCTTGATCTACTAATTAAAGTTTTCCGTAAGTTTTTATGGAGATCAATGTTTGATCCCAAGATTATTACACACAAGTACTAACTTAATTTGTTAATTTTTGTAATGTCAACCTGCATTGCATCTCTCAATAAATGCCAAAATTCCAATTCGTTAAAAAAGTTTAAAAAGGTTCATTTAAATTTTAATATTTAAAATTCTATTCAGATCTTTTTGATTCAGTAGAACAATAACTTGAATAGCATGAAAACAAAATTTCTGAATACAAACATTTTGTTTTTGAAGATTATTCTTTAATTAACATAACATGGCACTAGGATAATTAACATTAATAAACAATGGTAATTAACAAAAAGGAACAATGATAATAAACATAAGGGATCAATGGTAATTAACAAAAAGGAACAATGATAATTAACATAAAGGAAACATGGTAATTAGAATCAAGAAAAAATGGTAAGTACCATGAAGGGACAATGGTAATTAACATAAAGGTATAATAGTAATTAGCATAAAGGAACAATAGTAATTAACATAAAGGAACAATGGTGATTAGCATCAAGAAAAATTAGTAATTAACATAAAGGAACAATATTAATTAACATAAAAAACAATGGTAATTAACATAAGGAACATTGGTAATTAACATATTGGCACAATGCATGTAGGCCTTATGAGAATATTTTTCTGAAAAGGAAGTGAACACCTGTTTTCAAGTCAAATTTTACTATATTTATATCATTAGAGTTGACATTTAATTTTTAACACTATCAAATATCAAAGGTTGTAAAAGATATAAAATTAGGAAAGTTTTAGAGTTTGAAGATTTAATTTAGATATACTTGTTAATCATAGTGAGAAAATCATTTTTGCAATCAAGGAACTGTAAAGGAAAAATGAAAGGGGGTATAGGCTGAAACCTAAGTATCATAAGAGTTGATCGAGACCCACGAGAGTTCTATCTGATGTTCCTGTCTCGAGAAATTGATACAAAACTGTGTCAAATTTATACAAAATCGGTATATGCCAAATTTTGTATAAAAATAGTAGGATTAAACAGATCATATTCAGCAAATACGCAACCAATCTGAAAACGACAATATCTCAGAGGAGCCTAAGTAACTTAGGTTTGCTCCTACCAATGGCAGATCAGTATACTGGTCATGTGATAGAGACGGAGACACGTGACAACCATAATTCACTTCCATTGGTGGGAGGTCTGGTCACTTGATACAGACGTATAAATAATTATACTTATAATTATGTATTGTGTTTATCAATTAAATCTTTTAAAAATGAAAAATCATTAAATTCAAATAATAATAGGAGCAAATCTAAGTTACTTAGGCTCCTTTGGGATATCGTCGTTTTCAGATTGGTTGCGTATTTGCTGAATATGATCTGTTTAAACCTACTATTTTAAACAAAATTTGGTATTTACCGATTTTTGTATAAATCAAAATCGGTATATACTAAATTTTCAATCAACTCCTATGATACTTAGGTTTCAGCCTATACCTTCTTTCATTTTTCCTTTACAGTCCCTTTCAGCTAGAATATATTAGAATTTTTTTAGTTTTGCAATTATACCTTGATCTATTCGATCTTTGAGTTAGAATTTTGTTCTGCAATTTTTATTTATCAAAGACAATTATATATTGTTATTTTTTAGCTTTTGGATTAAACCTTTCTTCACATTTTCACTCAGTAAAAATATTGTCTAGCAGAGAATATGGACTGTAAAGTGTACATTTATAACTTATATTGGAGCTGTAATTAGAACATTAGATATACGTCATAAGAGTAAGGAATTGAGTTTTTGCCACAAGCTCAATTTTTCTAATCCTTACATATCTACACCCTGATGATTTGATCTATGCTTGAAACATCAAAGGTCTAAGAAATCTTAATATTTCAAACTTAGACTATTTGATCTATGAAGATATTATATTTTGAAATATCAAAGGTCCAAGACTTGAAAGGTTAAGGAATTAGATAATCAGAGTTTGTAACAAAACCTCTGTTCTTTTCTGAATTCATTGATTAGCAGTTGCGTTTTGTAATAGAAATATAATTTTAGCTTTATTTTCGAAGAACGAAGCAAGCAGATTATTTAAAAATAGACAAAATACAAAAAAAAAGATATGAGCTGACATGGCTCTTCCTGTTAAATTTTACACTGTCCTGATGGATGAAGTACAGATACAATTTGACTTAATTCGGTTTGAATAAAAATTAGATTCATTGGTATGAAATTATATGAACACATTAAAGACGACTTTTTTATTGTAAACAAGCTTTTCGAATTACAAGTTTACAAGTAATCAAAGAGAAGCTTTTTTAAATTGACAGCTTCTCGTGACTACTATGTTTATATGTTTTGTGTATCCATCCTGTTTACCAGATCGATATAAATCAAAATTTAAATCGTAAGTCATCTTCATAGTATTGATATAAGTGTATGTAATATACAGCCCAAAATCATTCTGATCAACCAGAACAGCACAACAATCATTCTTTTTGAATAAATAAATAGTAATCATGAAAACCAAATCGTTACAAAATTGTTTCTTAACCTTAAAACGACAGTAAGTGTTACAATAATTGGATTTAACATTTTTAATAATTTTTATTAACTACAGTCGCCGTCGTCGAATATTTTTGTACAATGAAGACGACTTTAGATTTCAACTTTTGGTTTATACAAAGTTATACACATAAACATGGAATCAAAGAGACAATATCAATTACCAGCTATTTTTTGTTTACTTGTCATTCAAAAAAAGCTTGTTAGAATCAAATTTAAACAGAAAACTCTTCTTCATTGTATTGATATAAACGCCCACCACCATAAATCAAAATTTGTACATGCATGCTTTATGTTTATACCTTGCATGACTTTAACGCTTACCTTTTCCTTTCCTCAATATCATGGTGTGTATGCAACCCTGTAATTTACTTCTTGTTCTTGTTGAAGTTAAAACTAATCTAATCAATTCAGTTTCTTTCTTGTCGTCTCAAAGACTAATATCATTAGCTAAGCAGATCCCAGCAATTTTATATTCATCATTCTTTTTAATTTTCTTCAGAATCATTTCGAAATCTTCCTTTTTTTAGCAAAAAGAAATGAATTACACAATGTTTAAGTATTGTTAAAACATCTAAGATTTGAAAACTGTAATATGTTATAGTTCGCATTTATTAAACTTCGCAATATCTATATCCTAAAAAAAGATACAGAAACAATCCTAAAACTATCGCTAAAGGTTTGTTTTTGGACCCTTTTGGGATCTTTTTCTGATCGTTTTTTGATATCACAAAATAGTCATAATACGGCACAGGGAAAAAAGCAAATATTTAAAATAAACGCTAAGATATGTTTTTACCCTGAAAGTAAATATTTGCAAACCGAACCAACTAAAGGAACATATATACAATGTACAGTATACACACTTTAAAGCAGGTCGACATGCCTTTTTACTTTTAAGGTTAATAAAAGATTAGAAAAAGTGTCTAAACATTTACCTTTCTTTAACTATTTCAAAATTACCCTGACAGAAGATATTTGCAAAGAACGACCTAAACACGATCCAAAAGCAATGCAAAAATGAACGTGCTGTAACGATCGTTTTGGATCGTTTTAAAATAGTTTTTGGATCGTTTTTACATTTAAAATTTTGTTTATGATAAAGATATTGAAAAGTTTAATAAAAAGCATACTTTAACATAATACAATTTTCAAATCTTGAAGTTTGTTGAATTTTTTCCAGAACGATTTACAAACCTAGTTTTATTTTAGCCCAGAATGGTAGCACAGCTAGAGGATCAAGATCTGTGCCAACAAGTCCGAGTGAAAATATTAAACGTTCAAATAGTCAGGTTAATTTTAATAATCACTCAGTTATTTTGAGAAAAGAATTGAGTCTTTGCTACAAACTCAAGTTTTCTAATCCGTATATCTTTGCAATCTAATGATTAAACCATTTGATATTTCAAACTTAGATCATTTGATCTAAAATATTTCATAGTTTGAAATATCTAAGGTCTATGACTTTTGAGTTTAAAGATAAAGGGATTAAAAAATCTAAGTTTTTGATAAAGACTCCAGTCCTAATACAAAGCACTATAAAAAAATGGTTAGGAGTTTATGAAAACTGATAATCTTTACTTGTAGATTTTTACTAGTCTAAAAATGTCGAATTACCAAAAGCATTCAAATTAATATGGCCATCTAAAAAAATTCTAAAATCCCGTAATTTCAAAACATTTTTGTTGTAAGTACGATTATTTGAAAGGAAGGATGAAACTCCGGAGCACTTTAATCCATCCTGCACCAGTTATTAAGCTAAATCCATCCTGCACCAGTTATTAAGCTAAATCCATCCTGCACCAGTTATTAAGTTTTCTTAAATCCATCCTGCACCAGTTATTAAGCTAAATCCATCCTGCACCAGTTATTAAGTTTTCTTTGTTATATCTTTAAAAAGATTTAAGCCTTTTTTATTTCAAAACTCATTTAGATTTTTGTTTCGTAAATCAAATTATAATGTATAAGCCATAAAAAAAATCGTCAACATAAATTAAGATGGGTATCAAATACGTCTTCCTAAAATCCCTCAAAAAATAAACAAATTTTAAGCAAAAAAAAGTTTTCTGAGCCTTAAATCAAACAATTTTCGAATATAAAAAAACGGCCAGATTGACGATATTCAGTGGGTTGAGTTATCAAAATAAGAGAATTTGCCATTTGCGATGAAATAGTTGCACCCTTACAGTTTGACCAAATAATTTAATTTCTAAGATTTATTATTTTCTTGCTGACAATTACGGTGAAGTTATATGCATAGTTTTTGTGAACGAACAAAACTTTTTCGTGAACGATGGTGTCATTAAGAAAATAAATTAACGATGGAAAATAGACTTGAATTGTTTAGATATGAAAAACTATCGCTTTTTCATATTTAAACGATTCAAACTAAACTATTTTTTGGAACTAAATTTAAAAAAAAAACAATAAATTTTTTGTCTGAACGAACGTTTTACTGAATGAACGAGTTGACTGAATAATCGTATTTGAGAAAACAAGCAATAATTTTGAGAGCGGACGAAATCTAATTTTTGAACGAATGAAGAAAAAAATTTAATTATAGATCGGTCACTAACAATGAACGAAGGAATTAAAAAAAACTGCAGAACGCGTCCATCTAGCTGCCAAGCATAAACTTATTATATAATTTCTAGTCAACTGAGGACTGGGAGCTGAGTAACCTGTTGGGATCTCCGGAAGAAGAAAATAATTTTGGTTCCACTTGCTCATCACCTTGTGAAATCAGGTGTCCACCAATCCACCATCTTCTACCTGAGATAAATGTTGCAGCGCATGGCTCCCCCTCTCCGGAACCAACAACTCCAACCTCAGTTTATGCTTCAGTGCCACCTTCTTTGTCAACCACACCGTCGTCTGTGAATCCAACAGGATTCAAGTTTCCGCCATCTTGCCCGTCCAACGGACAGTACCAGCCTAGTGTTCCCTATCTACCTGCCTCCTGCCTCTCCTCGCCGCAGGGCTCAAATCAAGGAATTTTGTCACCAACTATACAATACTCAAATTCACGGTAAGCTTTGAATAAAAAATAAACCTGAGGCAGACTGTCAAACATTTGTGTTAAATGCAGTTCATTCATCGATTGAACTCAATATTCAGCGCATGGGCAAACTTTAAAACTAAGGTTTAATCCCAATTAAAGCGGGGAAATTGATGGCACCATTGAGCTATTCGGCATGCAAGATTCAGCCGCCAACAAGAATAGTTGCCGACTCAGCGAACATAATCACAGATTTAAGACACTTAGAAGTGTTATCCTCTGGTTTAAAAACAATCCATGAAAAAAAAAGATTTATTATCGTTTGGCCCATTTACCATGTTCTAGGTACGTACAGTAAAATCCAGATATAAAAATACAAAGCAAGACAATTTTTTTGATGCAAAAATCTCAACAGCTTTCTATTTGGGCAGACCTATGATAAAGCATTACAGTTTTCATACATTTTAATAAATTTCAAGACGACATTTCATGGGCTGTATTCTTATATGTGGATTGGCTGTACTTTTCTAGCTGTAGAGCATTTTATTCGCATTCTGGGTTATTTCTTCTGAAGCTCCGCAAAGCAAAAAATAAATTGTTGAATGGATTTTATGAGAAGTTTGAATTTGTATAGGATGTCCAAGGACTTCTCAATTCTGCAGTTTTTGGATAAAATTGCCCTTTAACAATAAGTGTGTATTTAAGTGACCCTCCATGCAAAGATGACAATGCCCGATTCCCCTAAAAGGTTTGTCTGGTCAAGTATGAATTACATATTATAATGTTTATAATTTTGAAAAGAAATTATTTTCAATTGTGGTTTCTCTATACAAACTACTTCAGGAAATCCTATGGGAATTATCATTCCATAAATAATCTTAAATACATAAATAAGACAATATCTTCCACATTATTGATCAGATAAAGGTTTCAAGGGTACCGTTGTGAATCGGGCAGTACCATCTCCACATGAAGGATAACTTAAAGTTACACTTACAGTGCTCTTTTAAGACCGACTTGATCAAGCTTACCAATAATAATTATATGTTTGTGTACACCATTCCATCCAATCAGGGTTCAGCCATGTGTTTGGTGTCTATTCTGAACCAATAGAAATTGCTTGGCAGTAACATCTATCTTTCTATATAGCTCATTATCCAATTAGAGATAAATCCTTATATCGGCGCTATTACAATTAATGAAAATATTTACTTCTACTGAAACTTTGGTGCCACGGTCAACTTCAGTGCTAGAACGTTTAAAACGTTTGTAAATTATCTTAAAGCCATGATAAACTAATTCATCATTTTGATCAGCATATATCTTTATGGGTTTTTGAATGAGAGGCAATGATAAAAAATTTTTTCTTCTATTTTTAGACTGAAAAAGCCACAATCTTAACAATTATGGGCCGATTTTGGAGAAAATAGTTAAAACCCGACAGGAGCATTTACTAAGCGAATTACCAAATCTGTTTATCATGATTGTAAGATAATTTTTAACTCTATATCTAAAGCAGTCCATGGGAGAAGCTTACATCGACTTTTTGCATATATTTCTTTATGTGCATAGAGCTAAATAACAGACCAAGCCAATTTTTGCTCTTGCATTTATTTTTCTTGGATGTACACATTGGATTTAATTCTCAATGTGAATAAGTCAATATTTGGTCAAGGAAAACATAAAATAATCAGATTTTTTGTACAATTGAAAAATCTAAAAGACCTAATATTTGAGTAGTAATTGGGAATTCAACTTCAATTCAAGCTCTTCGCTCATATCATATATATTTATTTATTTATTTCGTACACAATTATAATGGTACAATTTAAAATCAACGAGAAATGAGATATATAACATGTAAAATATAGAATTAATATATAGTCGAAAGCAATAAAATAGAATAAAAAAATAAAAAACTTAGTTAGTTTTTACATATATCATCAATAATTACATCTATTTCATCATAGTTAAATCCTTCTAAAACATTTGGATTTGAACGGATTAATAGTAAATCTTTTAACAGTGGAATTCTCCACGCATTTTCAGCCGGATTCGCGTAAATCATGTTTGACTTTACTAGAGACTTGTTCAAGGACAGTTTATCTACATAGGTTTCATTTGCAATATTAGATAAATTCTTACATAATTTTGTTCTTTGGTCATTTTTGCATAAATCAAACAATAGTCGGATGCTGAGCTTGCGACTTTTACACATAGATTCGCAAAATGATACAAATCGGCTATGTTAGCTACAGCTGGTTAAACGGTTGGATCAAATTGGCTGACATTTTCCGATCATAGGAAATTTTAAAATTTCACCGGACACTTCAGCTAAGTCATGATTTAATACCAAGTGCGGGTAAACGACGGGAGTAACTATGAGTAATGATGTAAACCTGGTCAACGCCGGGTTCTCCTGCAGCATAGTACAGGGTGTCCCACGAAACATGACAGTATGCAAGAGGCCTTGAATGTCGTCTTGATTTTTGATATAATTTGCTGCGTTTATTTGTCAACCTAATTTTAGAAGTAAATTTCTAGAGATAATAATCACAAAATTCCCCTAGTCCTGCCATTTCCAAAATGTGGTCTGCATTTTTTGTGCTTTCAATATTGCCCGAGATATGAACAATTTCGTTTAGATTTCGACAATTTTGCTTTTATTTAACAAAATTGAAATCTGAACCAAACTCTTTATATTTCCGGTAATATTGAAAGCACAAAAAACGCAGACCACTTTTTGGAAATGCCAGGGCTAGGAGAATAATGTGATAATTGTTTCAAGAATCATACATGTTAAAGTAGATAGAAGACTAAATGTCACAATTAAATTCAAATATCAAAGACGACTTTCAAGTCGTCTTGCTATTGTCATGTTTCGTGGGACACCCTGTATATTTTATTTTCTATTTCAGTGAATGCGGAAGTACGCCACCAAACTCAGCGAGTTCCAACTACAGTCTTTCTCTGTTCTGCTCGAGTCCAACCAATCTAAAGCTCAACAACTCAAAACATAGTCTTAGTTCTGCACACAGTGTTACACCGTCATAAACAAACTGAATTTTTGTCATAAACTATCCAATCGGAACTGTGTGCAACTGTTCTCATATTGCGCGGAATTGTGTAGAAATAACAGGGCCCGCAATTGCGCGCTTGTAAAATCCATTTGCGCGTTGGAAACCCTACTGCAAACTAAAAATTTTCTTATCCCTTACTTTGCAATCTGATAGGTTTAATCTTTGATATTTCAAGCTTAGATTATTTGAGCTAACTGAATTCAAAGTTTGAAATATCAGAGCTCTACGACATCGTTTTGAGAAGATACAGGTAATAGAAAATCAGAATTTGTAGCAAAAACTCACAGTTAGCTTTTTAAAATTATTTTAAAAGAAAGGATCACATATTATCATTTTCTAAAGAAATTGAGTCTTTGCCACAAACACTAATTTTCTAACCCCTATAACTTTGCAACCCAATGTCGTAGACTCAGATATTACAAACTATAAATTATATCAACAGATAAAATAATCTAAATTTGAAATATGAAAAGTTTCCATCATCAGAGTGCATTGATGCAGGGATTTGAAAATTTTGTGGCAAAACTCAATGTCTGTTGTAAACAGTTCTATTAATATTAATCTGGATTTGCATTTTAAATATTGCGGATCAAGTCAAAAAAAAAATTTCCTCACTATTTTTTTTTTATTTTTTGCCTCTTGGGTATATTTTTAGCCTATAGATATTAGTTTATTTTATCCCAGTTGAGTCTAAGAGAGCTTAAAATTGTTAAAACATATTGATAGATCATTTTATGATGAATGAATTAGGCAAAAAGAAAGAAGAAGAAAATTAACACCTAGTGTCAAATCTTATTAAAAATGATGTCTTTCAGAAAACTGAAAGGTTTGAGTACAAAAGTATTCATTCCAAAATTATTTTATATTACTGTTTGTTAAGGCACATTCTATTGTTTATTATTTCTCAAAATCCCTTTTGTGTTAATTCAGTAAACTTTTTAAATCCATGGATGTGAAAAAAAGCTATGACACAGGAATGCCATAGTATCAACTTTTTAAATTTTCTACTAGTGCCTCGTAAACATTTATTGTACCTTTGTGATAAAAATATGTCAAATTTTCTTAAAAATTATAAAAAAGGATTAAAATTTGATATCGGTTTTTTAAGTTATGTAAGTTAGACAATTTTTTTCCGGAATATCTGATTTTTAGGGCCCTAAACTTTGTTTAAATATTTAAGAAAAACCAAACTTTCCGATTACAAATATGTTTTTGAATTGGGCAATTCTTTAAATTTCCTTTCGGAAACCTTAAAATGTCGATAATACTCCCCTCGAAGCATTATATACTAAACGTGTTAATCGGTTGTATTGATTACCAATGCAAAAAGGGCATATTCTGGTGGTTAAATCAAAAAATGAGTTTGTTAGTCAATTTGTGATGTCAGAGTGCCAAATTCATATTTTTTTCAAGGAAAACCAATTCTTCTGAAACCCTTTAAATGAATATCGGTTCAAATGTGATTTGTTTGTGTAATCAAAACCGTCTTTACTAATCCTTGTAATTGTTACGTTTAAAAATTTATTAATTGATATTTATGTATACACAAATATCTGATTTAAAAAAAGTACATGTTTATAAACGTCGTGTGCTTACACAATCCATTATTTTTAAATGTGTGATAAAAAAAATGTATTTTTCAGGGTTGTGAGTTTAAACACATATTCTCTTAAACCTTTCCCCTTGACTTAGTATTTTGGATACTTTTGCCGGTCTTTGAGGCTGAAAGTCCCAAAGATTACATTTTGAACCCCCTTCTGGATCCAAACCTGTACAATTGTAATTCTGTGTTTTAATGTAATGCGCTTAACATTGTAATATTGTTATCATACATCATTTTTTAAACTAAGAAATAAATATAGTATCCCGTTGAACTGAAAGACTTATATCAAAATTATTATAGACTTGAAAGGAACTTAGTATTAAAATGACAAGATTGAGTGGAATAACAAAGCATGGTTGTACACATAACTATATTAACATTTTAACGATGCAAACAATTAGTGTTGGACCAACTAAAGTTGATCTAAATACACACAACTTTCGCGCGATTTTTCCATTATTTCCATTCAACAGCGAATATAATTCTATTTAACCCTTCTGATCTGGCTTTATTCTTGGATTGGATTGCTTGGCTTTATTCTTGGATTGGATTGTTTGGCTTTATTCTTGGATTGGATTGCTTGGCTTTATTCTTGGATGGGATTGTTTGGCTTTATTGTTGGATTGAATTGCTTTATTGGCTTTATTTCTCTTGAGAGCAATGAACTGTACGGTACTGTACGGTACTGTACGGTACTATATACAAGTACAGTACTGTATACAAGTTGTCAACTCTTTGGGTTAGGTTCAAACTATGAAGACGACTTTTTATTAAGTTTTGATTGTTAACAAGTTTTTTTTCGAATTAAAAGCTTTCAAGTAATCAAAAAGAAGCTTTTTTGATTGATAGCTTCTTTTTTTTCCATTTTTATATATCCAGAGATGGAATTTAAAGAATTTGAGCCGCGGTTTAAATTAAGCGCCGGCTTAAATCTTGAAACATTTGATACAATTTTAAGTGGAACCAACCATATTTAAACCGCGGCTTAAATTTAAACCCCCGCTTAAATTCTTTAAATTCGGCCACAGGTTATTTAAAAAGCTAAAATGTTCAGGTTGGCTTTATGTTGTTATTCATTTATTTTATTAAGAGAATTTTTCGTTCACTCTGAACTAAGGACTGAACCAAATAACCCAGCCCCTTCCATTGTTAAAAGTAATATGGCACAACTGAAAGGAATAAGTTTCTTAAAATAAATTAGCTTGTGAGCCCAGCAATGGCCAGGCAAAACTAAGCTTAGAACTTTCCCGTTGCTCTCCCGAGTTCCCCAATCAAAATTTGAGTCAAACGAGTCCGGGGTTTCCTGATTTATGATCGGACAAACAAACAAACAACCAGAGATTACAACTTTATATATATATATTACTAGCTTAGGAACCCAGCGCTGCCCAGGTTACTTAAAGTTACTCCCGCCGTTTACCCGCATTTAAACGATTTTACCGAGGAACTAAATTTTCGCGAATTGAAATTCGATCAGCTCAACTTAGAATCTCAAAACCAAGCTAAGAACATTCCAGTGGGTCTCCTGAGTCTCCCAATCACAGTTTGTTCGTTTGAACGTCCGATCATAACTAATAACTGAAATTTAGATTGGGGAACGCGGTAGAACCACAGGGGATTATTTGTGAAGTGGTTTAAGTTCTAAACTGAGTGGAAAGATTAGTTTCCAGGCAAAGCTGGGTTCCCAAGCTAATTTACTATGTATAATAAAGGTAACTCCATAGATTAATAACAATACAGATGGAACACTAGATGTCGTCTTTATCTCTCTCTGCCTTGTCATTCAACGCGGCATTCACGTAACTCCTAATTGGACTTCTGCCTCAGTGTTAATTTGAATGAAAAACCCTAGATCTTGAAAAGGCGACATCCAGTGTTCTATCTGTATTGTTATTGTTGTATATGAATAAATATGAAGAATTTGCAATAGGGAGATATATTTTCTAATCTCCGAAAGACTAAGCTAGAAATAACTCATTCACCCGATATTAAACGATGCACGGTACGAATACTTTATTAAATGTAAAATACTAATACTACTCCATAATAATGATAAGATAATATTGAAGTTAGAAGATAGAGTCACAAATCTCAAACAAACACTCTCGTAACTTCTAGATGAGAAGGTTGATCGCCAACTGCCCGTTCTCCGGGTATGAGTTGACCAGCTCCCTTTAGATCTGGGAATCCCTAGTTTTCAAACTTTCCAAGGTGAATGTCCGTGGTACCTTTACCCCGGGCCCCTCTTAAGCGTCAGGTGAGCATACTTGGGTTTCCCGCCGGCAATGTTCTATTTATAAATATATACAACCAGGATTCGAATATTTTCAATCCTGAACTTTTCGTTAAAAGATCATCAAATTCTTGCCTCCGCTACATTATCAATATATTGGAAACTCTAGATGATCTGTCAAATCGCAAAAGTTTATTCAACTTATTGACAACAAACTTTATATCTATTGTACGTTTATTTGTCAAAACAAACTTTATTACAGTTTAACCCAGAACAATATAAATTGAATTTTTCAGTTTTACAGTTCGGTAAAATACTATTTAAGTAATTATTTCCCAATTGTGTTTAACAGCTGTGAGCCCAAAAATCCTACTCCAAAGCCTCCAGCAGCTGCAACCAGAGGGTTCCCTAAAAGACTTCCAGGGTTTCCTAGAAGGCCTCCATTGTTGAAACCTCCATTATTAAAGCCTTCATTGCTGTATCCTGAGTTAAAGCCTCTTCCTCCATGATGATGACCACCATGACCATGACTAAAGAAATTATGTATGTAGGAAATTTTCCGTTTCTTCAATTTACACATTTTACATTGAATTTATTATTCAAATGAAACTACAGAGATAGGAGATTATATCAATATAATGAAGACGAATTTCAATTTTTATTTATATCAAGCTGTTAAACAGCAGAAATAAACATACACATAGAGGTCAAGAGAACCTGTCAATCAAAAAAAGCTTCTCTTTGATTACTTGTAAACTTGTAATTCAGAAAAAAACCTGTTACTGATCAAAACTTAAATAAAAAAGTCGTAAAAAAATTGTATTGATATAATCGCCTAACAATGTATGATGACTCAATTAGGAATTTTTGTCTTTGCCACAAACTCTGATTTTTAATAGAATAATCTAAGTTTAAAATGTCATCAGGTTGCAAAGACTTTAAAAAGAACTTATTAAAAGTTTCCATATAAAAAATGGAATATGAAATATAAAATTTGTTTTACCCTCTAGGGTCCGGAGATGCATCTCTACGGATCAAAGAATGCTGATCCGTGAATTTTTGAACAATTCCGCAATAGCTCAAAGATACACAAACAGCCAAGTACAGAAAAATCTAGATTTAAAAATCATCATCACAATTGTTTGAAAAATAACTAATCGATTTTTAGATTTTTTGACTATATTTTGCGTACTTTTCATACGTTTTCATAAGTTAATGGACATTTTTCAATCAAACAGAAAACTTGGGCACATTTTGTTATTCTGCTTTGATATTTTAACAACAAACGCAAAAAAAAATAAAACGATATAATCAGTGGGAGCTTAATATTTTTTAGAATAGTAAAAAAGATTGCATTCTTCATTATTAGTTTATAATAATTTATGTGGGATGGGGAGTGTGTGGCACCATTTCTCTTTTCAAAAATTTAGAGTTTAGCATGTGATGTTGTCATAACAAGGAAAAAATGTATCTTGCCAAAAACTGATTTTTTTACTTTTAATAAAGTTTCAAAAATCTTTGCAGACAACAAATGTCCCGATCTAAAATCTAATTTTCACGGATTTCAGATGAGTTTTTGGCGGATTTTTAATCCTTTATTTTAATGCACTTTTTAAATTTTCATAAAAAATTTTTTCTTACCAGATGATGAAGAGTTGCCATAATTGACTAAGCTCTGTATCTAAAAAAATAAACCCCGGGCAACCTTTTATATTCATAAATCTTGGATTGTCCAGCGTAAAATTCGGAAGAGCGTTAATGTTAAATATGAACATTAAAGCAGCTGTGGAAAAAAATTTGAAATTAAGTTTTGTTACTTCAAAATTATTGTTATTGTTAAATATTTTTAGTGTGAAAGAATGTATGCTACATAATTTTAATAAATATTACATGAATTGCAAAAAATCATAAAATTGAGTCAAATCCTGGACCTTGTGTACGCATTTTCTACAGTGCAGGTACCATGAGAAGAAAATGTATGTTCATTCCAAAATTAAATAGAAGATAATTTATTTTTATAAAATCTTTCGATTTATCATTTTGGTCAAAAAAAAATACTTAGATAATGTAAATGATATTATAAAACAGAATATTTCAACCTTTTAAAGTGCAAAGTATGAAAAGATGTTGAAAACGATATTTGAAAGGACTGAACAGTGTTGTAATACCAAGTGGACTGTTAGCTTAATTGCAAGTGAACTTACCTCCATACAATAACGGCAATGTCTGGTTCACAACGGTACCCTTAAAAGCTTTGTCTGATCAAATATGAATTAGAAATTAATGTTTATAATTGTGAAAGGATTATTTTTTTCAGTGTGCAGTTTCTCTACAAAAGAATTAGACATATATTAAACCTAGAGAAACATTATTGCCATCTTTCGATGGCCGGATGGACAATTGAAATTATACGCCTACACTCCCTTTAATAAAGATAAACAACATTTACAAATAAAGTAATAACCAATAAAACTAAGAATGATTTTAGTCTTTGCTTCACGGGCAACCGTAGTACATTTGAATTTCCGAGCCGGGTCAACCTTTCCGGTCCAAGTTTGTACTGTACCTAGCTCTATGGAAAAGGACTTGCCGGTGCAACAAGGTTGACGCGGTCAGACTTTATGCCTCATATAGGTTGAATTTACTTTTACTAGAGGGTCAGAGGTGCGTGGCTTCGGTCCCTTTATAAAAAACCAGTGAGAATACTGTTTTGTATTTATTATATATATTTCAAATGGTGTACAATTGTTGTACATATATATATTCAACCATGCTACAAAATAGATATTTTTTTATCAGAGTATGGATTCCTAGGATATCAGAGCGCTTTGCGCCCATCTTCTATTTCAACTTTTAAAAGTTGATCAATCTATTAGTATTTTCTCTTTGTTAAAAGAAAAACTTTTTTGTTGTTGCGAATTTACCATTTATCTTGTGGATTTCAAAATTGTTTGTAATTCCGGGCATTTATAAATAAACCATCCCTGGGATCCCAAACAACTTAAGGTCCAATCGTTTCGGCCGTTTTGTCGTTTATTGGACACAAAACCAAAACAGATAGACAAGCAAGGTACATATATAGATTTATAAACTAATGTTTTATACAAAACAGATAGACAAGCAAGGTACATATATAGATTTATAAACTAATGTTTTATACAAAACAGATAGACAAGCAAGGTATATATAGATTTATAAACTAATGTTTTAAACAAAAAGTCCCATTTTACATTTCACAGTCTTTATAATATATCCTAGTAGCAAAACCATCATTACTTTTATTTATAATTTTAGTTTTATGTTCTAGTCAAGGTTTTATAATAAGGTTTCTCACTCTCTATGCGTTTCAACGTACGGGAAATGTCATCTCCATAGCATAGATAGATAATTCCGTATACGACGTCATTGATCCATACTCTTGCCGGATTTTATCACTCTATGTTTCGGAGACGACATTTCCCGTGCATTGGATCGCATCGAGAGTTAGCCACCTTATTATGCAACCTTGGTTCTGGCACTCCTTACAACGTTTCGTTTACCAAGAAACTAACTTGATTGTTTGAAAATGCAACTGATGACTTGCACAAGTGTAAATCTTAATTCTTTTCAATCTCTCCATGACAACAATTTATTCCCAGCATCTTCATCTATATTTTTTTCAACTTAAAGGGACTGTTAGCCTAGTTTCAAGTGACCTTCCAAGTAAAAATGACAATTCTCGATTCACAATAGTAGATCAATTATGTGGATCAATGTTGTCGTTTTTCTAGAGTTTAGGTGTTATTTTCTGAATATCAAAATTTAAATTAATCAGTTTTATAGAGATTGCTTTCTAATTCATACTTGATCAGACATAGTTTTTAAGGGTACCGTTGGGAATCGAGAGCTGCCTTCTTTGTATGAAAGTATTCGCATAGTTATTAGCTCAGTGCTTATGTGAAAAATCAAGTAAACTCAGATCTCAAAAGAAGTCTAATCTATATATTAAAGTTTTTCGCTTATTATATGTTGGCTATAGCTTGCCAAACATCCTGACTAAATTGGCTAAATTTTGTTGAGGGAATTATGGGTGGTGACATTTTTTATGCTTATCTCATATTGGTAAAAGTTTTATATGGTGTTTTAACCCATTCGTGACGAGACCATTAACTATTAGTGAAGTTGTTTTAGAAGGAGCTTGTCAAAACAAAACTTGATTGTACTCATGAAAAAACGATATTCAATTAAATTTTTAATTTTTTTATACAGGGGGACCTGTAAAACATGAAAATCTTAAAATCTTTGATAATTCATAATTATTTAATTATCTTCAAAACTTTACTTTTCATGTTTTAGTTATTTAGATCTTTAAAAGAAGATTCCAAAAATATATTTAAATTTTTTCTAGCCAAAAACTTGACAATTTTATAGATTCAAATCTAAATTACAGGGTGTTCTTATGGTTTTTTTCCGAATTCAAAATCTTGTTTTTTGGGTTTTTTTGAATTGAAAATTAAAAAAACAATTTTTAAGTTACGTCAAATATAAAATATGTTTTGAAAACAGGAAATCCTAAGGAAAGCGCAGGAAAAGACAAGACAACATTTAGTTTAAGAAAAAAGTCACTTAAAAAAACCTCACCCGGTCAAAATTGACCTTCTCGTCACTAATTTAACTGACAATTTATTTTTAAACTAGAGATATTATCAAATAAAACATTTTTAAATTTTAATATATTTTATTGTTCTAAAGCAACATTAACTATAACTGGATGAAGATATTCCCATAAACTGCGGAGGCATTAAATCTATTTGTAGTTTTAACTGAATATTACGCCTGTTGTAGAGCTGAACCTCCTAAATATACATATATATATATACATATACAGAATTTACTAGCTGAAGTGCTCGGCGTTGCCCGTGGAATTAAAATAATTCAAATTTTTTGGTCTATGTTGTTACCCCCCAGGAAACCCATGGGTTCACTCAAAAAAAAAATTCAACCAATTCGGTCCAGCCGTTTGGCCAGTTATAGTTAATATATATATACATACAAACATATATGATCGAAGAAAGGGTTTCCACGAAATGACCACATTTTTTGCGCAAAATTTGTTTAATATTTGCAAAACAAAGTTGTTTGCAAACTTTTGTGCATGAAGCGCATTATTTATTGCGTAATTTTCGCAAAACAGGACGTATCGCGCAAAACGTAAATTTTTACTCGAAAAATAATATTTATAATCAAATTGAACAAAATTGAGAGTTTCAGCAAAGAATCAAACAACTGAAGGTTTATTAAAAAGTTTACAAAGAAACAAAATTATGATTATGCTTCTCTGAAATCTGAAATGGTGAATGATTGCGCAAAGTATTATGTTTTTTCCGCGCTAAAATGAGTGCAACGAAAAAAAAATTCGCTTTCTTCGAAAAAATTGCGCAAGAGCTTTGCGAATGGAATCATAGTCGAAGAGCTTTATTATTTTAAATTATCATTTTATTGCATTTTGTGCAACATTATTAACTTTCGTCAAATTGTCAGCCTTGTTTATTTTACTTCTAGAAAATTATATTTTGTCCAACCAAGGGAAAGAGAGTGATTGCAGATTTTCTATTTTTTGTTTGGCACGGGCAGCCATAGTACATTTGCATTTCCAAGCCGGGTCAACCTTTCTTGTCCCAGTTTGTACTGTATCGCCCGGAAATTGGGAAAATAAAGCAGACACTCAATAGGAATAGTTGGTGCAACACTAGGTTGACGCGGTCAGACTTCAGGTTGAATTTACTTTTACTAAAAAGGTCAAAGGTGTGTGTATGGGATATTTTACTCTTATTCAAATTTTATCTATTATTTTAATACTCATCCACAAATATACAATTCAAAGATTAATTAGTGTATACTGTATGCACAACAGTTGATTAAACTCTAACGGCCATTTTAAAATTTTAATTTTCATTCTGAAGATAAATTTTGTTACAGTCCCTGTACACGGTACATTCCATTTCATTTCATGTACAGGACCGAATTTCTATAGCCAAGGGAAACACAGACTTTACATAAAGCAAAACGGGACTGTACTTCTAGTGATGTTTATGTGTGTCATGTGTGTAAAGTGTAACTAATAAATAATAAAAAAATGTTTTCCTGATCATGACGATCTGATTCAGTCGATAGTTCTTCTTCCGTTTTTATCTTTGTCTGATGTAGATTTTGTTTCAGAAGGGAAACCTAAATTTTTAAAATAAATTATTCAAAAATAAACTATACAAAAAATATAATCTTTACAAAGTGATTTATTTTATGAATTTATATATTATTTTATATTGATAAAATATTGGAGAAGCGCTAAATTCTTAATTAGATTAACAAGATTAAATTTTACTTCTGATCAAATTCAATAAATATATAGATATTTTTTCAATTGTATATTAATTTCATTTTTGCTTTCTGAAAATAGATTTAAATACATATTTATTTAGAATTATGAATAACCAGCTGAAGTAACCGGCGTTGCCCGTGGTATTTTAGAAACTTGGAAAATTTGGAAAAAAATACTTAATTGACATAAAATTCCAATTTTGAGAAAAATAAATCTAATGTTATAACCGGCCCAGGGTACCCGTGTCCCGTAGGTTCCCTCAAAAATATCAACCAATTTGGTTCAGTCGTTTGGCCAGCAATAGCTAACATAATACAAATATACAAATTTATTTATTATATACATTTAAAAATGTTTTTTTTCTTCAATAATAAAGAGCTAATAATAAAAAAATTATCTACGTCTTCTTTTAATCTTGTGATATCTCGTTCCAGAGTTCTAGCCTTTTCCCTAAGTTACAGTACGAAGAACTCAAAGACGAATATGAAGCAGTATAATTCAATACAGTCGTCGTCGTATATATCTATACAATGAAGACGACTTTAGATTTCCATTTTTAATTTATACCAAGCTTTTAAACTGCATGGATACACATAAACATGGATATACTGTCAAAAAACAGCTTCCCTTTGCTCACTTGTAAAATTTTAAAAAAAAATCTTGTTAGAAATCAAAACTTAATAGAAAAGTAGTCTTCATTGTATTAATATACACGCCGACCCATGTATGAGAGAAACGTACATCAGCGGTTAAAAATATTAGAGGGGAAAGAATTTTGGCACTTTTTTAGAGTGAAATATTAAAACTGATTAAAGGAGGAAAAACAATGAGCCTACCAATTCCAGAAATGTTTAAAATTTGTTAACAAAATTTGTAAATTATTTTATAGATAATTTTTACAATTGTTTACTGGTTAATATTATAAATATTTTAATAGATTTTTGAGATTTTCTATATGATATTTGTTCAGTTTCACAATCAAAGTATCATTAGAAAGCTCTCTATTTTGTATATTTTAGGATGTATTTTTAAATGCAAAACTTTTCGCTGCAACTACCTTGTTAAACAAATATCTCAAATCATTTTCTCGATTTACTAATCCTAAATTTACGGTGATTTGCTAAGCTGTATCCAATGCACAAAATAAAAAATCGAAGGTCTTTTAAAATCTCAACTCCTATATCCAACGATATACTCGATCCGTATACGGCGTGTGATACTCTAAATTGATTAATAAAAACAATGGAATATGAAGACGACATTATAGCAATACTTTAGTGTATTTGAGGTTAAAATCAAATAATTTTACCAGACACTTATTAAATCACTGATTTAGTGAAATGGGTCTGTTTACACCGGACAATTTATGTGTTTTATGCTCACTGGACTATTTAAAACCTGATTCTATTAGTCGTCTTCATCTTCCAGAGTTTTCCAATTATGACTGTATAAAATAAGTTCTGTTGTATTCCTAAGGATATCCAGATTAAACTTTGTCTCAGACATCTTCTTGATTCCGTACTGTAAACTGTGCTCATACAGAGTCTAAAATCTTATTTAAAGGGAGTGTTAGCAATAAACGAAAGGGGATAGGCTGATGTCGGGTTGAATTCGATATCGATTGCAACTAAATCTATTTTTATCTGTTACGTCTATAAGAAGAAAATGGGTTAAAAGTCTTATACCTGACAGCATTATCATGTTATACGAGGATGATAAGTTTTTAAAGACTCGAGTTTTAGTAACAATTTTTACGATTTTGTTTTAAAACAATATTGTCATGGAAAAAATATCTAATTCTTAATTTATGAAAAATTTCCTTATCATTTCAACATATTTTATAAATGATTCCAAAACAAATAATTACTTGATATCCAATTAAAGTCTGTTTTTGCTCATTTTTAATCCTCATCAATAGCAGCCCTCGCTCCTAAACAGTGATTACGTCAGCTATATTAAAGGGACTGTATGCGTAATTTCAAGTGATCTCTTTAAACTGTTCTTTTCTTTTGCGTAAATGACTTGTGCATTAACTGTGTATAGGAAACAATGAAAAATTCACAGAAATAAACACTTTTAAAGTCAAATTCAAGTTACTATATTTTAATTTGGAGGGTAGGGCTGGACACGTTCCAACTTTTTCAAGACGTTTCGTTAATAGTTAGTTCCAACCCTTTTAAAATAAAATCACAGGTAGCAGTTTTAGTTTTAGAGGGTAAGAACAAAACTTCTTTTTCGTTAACGGTATTTTCCGTTTTTTTTAAGTTACCGTTAGTTAACAATTTCTAAATTTTATTAACGGCGTTGGACTTTTTTAAAAACCCGTTTAAGGTATCGTTATTGCAGAATTAACAAAAAAATTGCTAACGGTCTATTACATAATTGACGGCACGACCACAAAGGACGACATTTAGAAAATCGTAAACAAATTAAAAAAAGAATTTGTTTTTTGCAATTTTAAGAAAAAAAAACGAAATTCACCGTTTTGAAAAAAACCGTTTTGTTTTCTTTCCAACCGCAATTTTTTTTTTCAAAAACAGCTAATCCAATTCGCTAACGTTTTAAAAATTAACGGTGTTTGCCGTTCGTCAACGGACTCTTCCGTTTGTTTTTGAAAACCTCCGTTTTGTTAACGAAATTTTGCCCTGGTGGACGTTCACTTGAATTTCGGTTACAGGCTACAGTTCCTTTAACAAAGTAGATTATTTGCTATAGTATATTTCGGTTTATGAAAAGAACACAATCTTGAAAAAGTTAAAAATTTTACCGTACAAGTAATGATACTTTGTCGGATGAGTTCTTCAAACAACTGAGTATATAGTTCTCGTCTTTTCTAGAAAATAAAAGGTTATTGTAGACAGTTCTAGGGCTAATCATCAATTCATTACTATTGTACAGTAAAATATATGCTAAATAGGAACCGAGTTTTTGCCACAAACTCAAATTTTCTAATCCATATATCTTTGCAACCCGATGTCGTAGACCTTACACATTTCAAACTACAAATTCTATTAGATAAAATCATCTTTGCAACCTTATCAAAGGTTTACAGTATTAGGTTGCAAATATATATGGATTAGAAAATTTGAGTTTGTGGCAAAAACTTGGTTCCTATTTGGTTTAAGTAAAAGGTACTGTAAAGAAAAAATGAAAGGGGGTATAGGATGAAGTAGACGGAAATCACGTGACAACGATACTGCACTGTCATTGGCCGAAGTTCTGGTGACGCAATACGGACTATACGGACAATCTGTAATAATATTATCAATATTATCTCGTTTAAAAATGCAAAATGAAAAAAATACAATTATAATAAGAGCAAACCTAAGATTCTCAGGCTCCTGAGGGATATCGTCGTTTTCAGATTGGTTGCGTATTTGTTGATAATGATCTGTTTAATACTACAACTTTTTTTTACAAAAATGCATATACATGAATTTTTGTATAAATTTGACACAGTTTTATATCAATTTCTCGAGACAGGAACATCAAATAAATGTCTTATAGGTATCGTTCAACTCCTGAGATTCTCAGGTTTCAGACTATACCCCTTTCATTTTTCCTTTACAGTCTCTTTAATGCGTTTAAAAAAGAGCTTACAGGAATATGGGAGTTATTATTTTTAAATAATAAAGCATTGTGTTGCATGTAAAGAAGCTTTTTGCCGCAAAATTTGATTAGATCAAAATGTCAGGTTGCAAAGATATAGAAATTAGAAAATTTGAGTTTGTTGGCAAGATCAATATTTATGAATTCAGTGGTTTCGTTAAAGTTCAAAATTCTGAATGTAAAGCAAGCGTCTAAATAAACGTTCAATAAAGATAAAGGTGATCCTAATTATACCTGACAAATCCCAGTTGTTTGTGCCATATGCTCCTTCAGCTAAATATACATATTAAAGGGACTGTTAGCGAAATTTTCCAGAGATCCTCCATGCAAAGAAAGCAATGTCCGATTTACAACGGTACCCTTGAAACCTGTGTGTGTTAGTCGAGTACAGAGATATGTGTGTTTTAACATATCGAAACCGGTTTGTATTCTGCTCAAAATTCAAGTGTGTTCAGACCGTACGAAAGTCAACACAGTGCACACTTGAGTTTGCAGCTTAATTCTAACAAGCGGTTTTTACTAAAGAATCACATAAAATAACGCTTACAGTCCCTTTAACATATTTATTGTCTAGGACTTATTTACGAGTTTTAACAACTATAAATATAAATAAATCTAGAGTTTTTTAGTTTTAAAGTAAAATTGTAGAATACTCAAACTGTTTAAATAAAAAATACTAATTTTCATTTTATATGTCAAAATTAGGTCTGAGGACGTTTATATGTATACTCGTTTCAATTTGATATTGACCAAGAAAAATTATTTTTTTGAAGATTCTTTTAGGGTTTTACTTGAATTTGAATAAGAACTTTAATATTTAACGAAATTAGAATAGTTCAATTTTATTCATTTAGAGACTGAACAATGAGAAAGAAATGTTGTCAACAATGTTAATTATTTATTTATAATTGGTAATTTTGACCTTGATATCCAATAGCTCGGTTAAATATTTCACATCTTCTCTATATTTAAAATCTTCTTTAATATAAACTTTTACTGAAAGCCAGAGATGGCCAACGTTTTTGTGAACAAAAGACATTTTTTTATTAACGTTGATGGTGTTGTTCACAAAAAAAAACGAACCATGGATGAACGACTTGGACTGTTCAGAGAAATAATAAAGATAGTTTTTCAAAACGAACGAAAAGGAAAACATTGAAATAACGTTCATAAACGATTTCTACGTCGTTCGTTCGTACGAATACGAAAATTAAAGTTTTTTACTGAACGAATACATTTTTTGAAAGATTTTGAAATAACTATGTTTTCTTACAGAACAAACTTTTTGGATAAATTTTACTTAACAATCGATCTTTCAGAGAGAAAAAGAACGAAATAGATTTTAAACAAACTGGGACGTTCAATTACAGTGAACAAACGTAAACTTTCTTTGTACTGAAGTTTTTTTTAAGAAAATAAATCTTAAAAGGTCAAAGTTCAAACACGTGATTCCATTATCTTTATCAATAAACTTTGCTCTATTTCAAAACTAAAAAATAGAAAAAACTGCTTCTTGAAATATTTAAAATTAATTTAATTTGATTTTTTATATTTCCTTGAAGCAGGGCTGATGTCAATCTTTCTCATCCACATCTTTCCTGTACAAAATTTTTCTTGGGAGTGGGACCGAATTTAATGAATTTAATCTACGCCGCTGAACTGCCTTCTGCCGGTTCAAATTTGAACATCCGATTTAAAGTTCAACAGTCCTTGAAAGGTTTCGAATCGCTGCTTAAATTTTGAAACTACGATCAGCCACCAATTAAATTCATTAAATTCGGTCTCTGATTATTTTCGAAAAACAGCAATTTTAGGTTAAAGATGGTGAATTTAATTACCATTAAGTTCCCAAATCCTTGGAGTAAAGATTCCCCTTAATATCGTCTTTGCTTCTTCTAAACTAAATACGGAACTAAAAGTTCAAAGTTTGCAGTAAAAAATATTCTAATATTTTAACAAACAAGTCCAGAATATTTTAAACCGGATACTGAATATATCCGGAAAAACATCGAAATGTAAATCTTTTTGAATTTTTGATAATTTTAGAAGAGAAAATTTGAGCATTGATTAAAAGATAAAAATCGAAGGTGGGCGCGAAGCGTCCTAAAAGCCTAGTTTTCTGCTAAAAAGTAGAAAATAAAATATATATACTTACAGAAGAAATAGAAAACCTTCTTTAAAATGCTAATGACAAGGGAAATTTAAATAAAATTATTAATAGACCATTTATTTAAAGAGTAAATCTTGTTCAATTATTCTTTGTTTAAAAACTTTTTTTGTAAGTTCAATCCCTCCCTGTTGCTGAAAGATTCATCTTGTTTAAGGCTCTCGAAATTTTCACTTTGAGTTTCATCTAATAAGTTTTATCAATTATTTACAATCTTTCATTTTTAAACTTACTTAATTTACAGTGAGTTTTTGCAACAAACTCTGTATTCTTATTCTTATATCTTTACAACCCAATGTCGTAGACTTTAGATATTTCAAACTATGAATTCTGTAAGATCTAATAATCTGAGTTTAAAATATCAAAGGTTAACAATATCAAGTTTCAGTCATTTATGAATTAGACAATTTAAGTTTGTGACAAACACTCATAATTCATTTAAACCTTTTTATATTTTGTTATTTTATTTAAACCTTTTTTATATTTTGTTATTTTATTTAAACCTTTTTTATATTTTGTTATTTTATTTAAACCTTTTTTATATTTTGTTATATTTTGTTAACAGAAAAAGTATTTAATTAATTCTTATCCCTGTGCCACAAGAAGAGAACTCCTCAGGAGCTTGAAATCTAAGGGTAATCTATGTATAAAAAGTAGTAAACGCTGTTTGTTTGTTTGTTTGTTAGATCATAACTCAGGAACCGATTTGCCTCAAATTATGGTTGGGGAACTTAAAAGAATCAAGGGAATGTTCTTATTTCATGGTTTAAAAATTCCAAGAGGAAATATAGTTTTAAGGCAAAGCTGGGTTTCCAGTGAAGAAATACTTTTTAATTTATCAATGAAAAGAATGATTAAACGTTAATTTTAATTAATAGTCTCAAATGAGACCTTAGTTCAGGGAACAAAAGTAAAATTAGTTTAAATAATGAAAATAATATAATGAGTAGATACTTAGTATAATAAGTAACTATGATTAATGGTTTAATGATATTTTTATTGACAAGTTTATAAACAATATCAATAATTATTTACATTTACATAACACTTTACAGTGAATCCCGTCCAGGTCGGTTAAGTAATAATTATTTACAACTACTTTACAGGGAAGTTAGGGGAATTTTACTTTACAAAGGGTTTCGCTCCGCTCTGGATGTTTTATAGACAAAATTGGTCGATGTACAATTTATTTGTAATTTCGCGATCAAGTAATTGTCTTTTAGGATGAAAATGTAAGATGTCTTCACAAAAACCTCGCAGAGCGGGTGGTTGATTTACTTAATTGTCCCAAGATTTAGGTTCCTCTGTTTGTACAACTACATTTCGGGAAATCAAAAATCTCCCTTAACCGCAGGTTCCCTCAATCAATTTAATTGGTTTTACAAACCCTTCGGTCGATCTGGATAAATTCCCGAAAAAGAAGATAATTGTACTTGATGTTATTGTCTTTTGAGATGAAAATGCAAAAACTTCTTCACAAAATTTTGCAGGCGGTAATATTCCTATGAGCCGTAGAGAAGAGATGATTTTTATTATTATTGTTATTATTGGTCAACCCGTCTAATTTTCTTAAATTTGTAATAAAAATATTATTAAAAATCCAAAGCAATTCATCATTTTACTTTTGTCGTTTGCGCTGATAAATGTTCCATGTTTCGTGACGATTTCTCATAAAAATCATAATTTCCAATAAAACTGTTTATTTTGCTATTTTCTTGCATTTGTAAAATTCCTTTGCGTTATTATTTTTTCTGCAAAATGGGGGGGGGGTTGGATACAAAAAAAAACTTAAAGGGAGTGACCGGCTATGTAAGGTAGTTGAACTAAATTTCAAAAAACTAATTCTGAAAATGAATCCACCCCCAAAGTAGGAGTTTTGAACGTCAAATTTGCATTTAAATTCAGGATTTACAATATTTGCAAAAAAGGCAATCAGAGCGGTTAATAATTATTTTAATAAATATTCTAATTTATCTCTACATAACAATCCCTCTGATCTCACCCTGCCACAGATCACCTGACAATCTCCTTCCTTCAAATCAACTCCTTACCTATCCAAAAACATATCTTGATATGTGTAACCAAATATATTCAGATCGTTAATTAACTTAGAGCCAACCACTCAAAACAACCAACCCTGGTTAGGCGGGTCCAAACTGCATAGTAAATTGTGATTGCTTATTTGTAATATATCATGCTTTGTAGTTGAATAAATATATGAAAAATCTTTAAAAAGTTTAATGTGTCTCAAATGAATCCGAAAGAAGTTTTCCACAACACTGCATACTCAGTTCAAATACCTTACATAGCCGGTCACTCCCTTTAAAGAGACTGTTTGAGAAAATTGTGTTTTTACATTTAAAAAAATTTAAATTATAAAATTTTAAAGTGATTCGTAGAAAGATTTTTTTTTGTCTCTCTTGCCTGCAAACCAAAAACTTACGGGGTTATGAAGTCGCAAATTTGCACCAATAATTCGCATAAAATGAAATTTTAAATGAACCGAAACAATATCAATTGATAAAAGATTTCAAAGTCGTCTTTGACCTGAGTTATAGTGTACGGCATTAACTATAGGCAACCTTTTTTTGGAATATTTTTTTATACAAAACCATAATCACAAATTAGCCTTAGTCCTGCAATTTCATCAATTTTGTCCGTCATTTATATTCTTTCAAAAATTCTAGAAATATTCGGAATATTGTTTATATTCTAGATATATTCGGAATATTGTTTATATTCTAGAAATATTAGGATATTGTTTAAATTCTAGAAATATTCGGAATGTTGTTTAAATTCTAGAAATATTAGGAATATTGTTTAAATTCTAGAAATATTAGAAATGTTGTTCAAATTCTAGAAATATTAGGAATATTGTTTAAATTCTAGAAATATTCGGAATGTTGTTTAAATTCTAGAAATATTAGGAATGTTGTTTAAATTCGAGAAATATTAGGAATATTGTTTAAATTCTAGAAATATTCGGAATGTTGTTTAAATTCTAAAAATATTAGAAATGTTGTTTAAATTTCAATTTATTAAATAAAACCATGAAATTGCATAATTTTGAACAAAATCAGTTATATCTCCAGTCGAAATAAAAAAATGCCAGACCAAACTTTGGAGATGACAGGACTATGACTATTTTATGATTAAATATATTCATAGAAAATATTTATTTGATTGAGAATTGCCTTTAATAAATACTGCAATTGCTATTTCCAACGTCAAAGACGACTTGCAGAACTCTTGGTTTATTTAGAATAGCGATACAATCTATCTTTTTATCTTCTTTGCATGAGATCTAGGGTTTCCAGCGAAATAGGGCAATTGTGTCGCGAAAATGTTGCATTGTTTTGCATTCTCTTCGTTGAAAATAATTTTCAAAATTCGCGAAAAAAAACTTTCACGTTTTCGCATTTTTCGCAAAAATTTAGAAGATTGCAGAATACGAAAAAAAATTTCGCTAAATTTCTCATTTTTTCGTGAAAGTTTTTTTTTCGCTGGAAACCCTAAATTGCGACCTGACAAGAGTAAAGAATGTGCTAGCTCCAGACACACGGATCAAATCCGCCATTTCCTTTCCAAATTGTAGATGTAGGTTTTATAATCAAATAACGATAAATGGTAAAACAAGGTTATCTTCCGAACTTTTTAGAAACTTCCAAGATTTCTCCACGCCAAACTATAGTAAATTGCACGAACAACATTGAAACTTTAAATGTTTCCAATCATTTAACTCTTCTTCTTGAGGAAGAAGGAGAAATACAAAAATATTTTTTCCTAAATTTCTAACATGTAACAGAATAAACGTGCTTTTTACATACTTGTGGATAAATTTAATACAAGAGGAGCTACGAGGTCACAAAGATGTGCCAGTAATGTTGAATTACTGTTAAGCTTGCCGTGTCTTGTACTCAGTACTTTCTGATTGCTTCAGTAAGAAAACACGGGCGTTTAAATTTAGAAAATGAAATCGATTAAAATTCTTAAAATCACATAATGATAATTTCTTTAAAGTCTTCATTTGCAAAATTCCTTGTCTTTCAGCTTGTCCGCAGAAACAGCGCACCTAAACAAACTCCAACATATGTATGACAAATGATGCTGAAGTTTTTTTAACAGGAAATTGAAACAAATTGAATTTTGAATTTTATTATTTGGAAAACACTTTGTTCTTGTTAAAAATATCTGCTTAACACCAAAAATACCTTTTTCCATTTTCATTGGATTTTGATGATATTCCACCCGTTGTTTTCATAGACTCCATTTTTAAAATCTAGCATTTTATCATAATAATGTACATATGCATCTAATTTGTTAATCTGTTACAGAAACAGTGTCCGAATTTAATGAATTTAAGCCGCGTCTCAAATCCCAAAAACCGGTTTCAAATGAGCGCCGGCTTAAATCTTGAAAAATTGAATACAATTTTACGTGGAACCAACCATATTTGAGCCGCAGCTCAAATTCTTTAAATTCGGCCGCAGGACATATTAATTACTAGATTTTCTATTAAACTGGGAAGCCACAAATTTTCACTTATTTTAAAATTAATCTGTGTAATACAATTCTTCGCTCACACACAGGGTTACCCACAAAGGATTAGACTTCAAAGACGACTATACGGAATTTATACTGTCTCTTTCCTTATATTCATGATTCCCTAATACTATGAACTTCTTTCTTCCTTTGCAAAATTATCAAATAAGACATTTCAAGGCCAAAATCAAGGCAGACGACTTAATTCCAACTTTGAATCATTATATTTCAAGAGTTTACAAGTCGTCTTTACATTCTCATCCTTTGTGATTAACCCTGTATATAGCTGTATATGAAGGGAGGGGAACATAAATTTATTAAATTAATATACGGGGACTCTAGGGAATTATTTAAAGACAATTTTTAATAAAAAAGTTTAACGATCATAATCTGAACTGAACTGAACTGAACTGAACGATCATAATCTGAACTGATTTCCTAGGATTTTATTAAACATTGCTACAAGTAAACAAAGATGATTTTAAGTTTGGATTTCAATTGAATTGATTAAGAACAAATTAAACTATTAAAGGAACTGTAAGAGTAATTTCAAATGACGATGTCAATGCCTGATTACCAAAGGTACACTTTAAAACTGTGTCTAATCAAGAATGAATGAGATATCAATAATTATAATTTTGAAACCTGGTTATTTTCAAATGTGGTTTCTCTACAAAAGCGACTTTGCGCATTCTACTGCAGGAAAATATAAAGTAAGTATTTTAAACCTATAGAAAAAACATTTTTTCCTTATTGTTTATTAGATAAAGGTTTCAAGGATATAGTTTGTGAATTTGTCCTTAGCATCTCCAAGAGCGTATGCAGAAATAAATTATTAAATTTTTGCCCCCCCCCCCTTAGAGCTCTGAGGGGGGGGGGCAAAAAGACTCTTTAAAGGTACCCATACAGTCCAATCACCTTATAAGTACTACTTGATCTGTCATTAAAAAAAAACTTGCAGAACAAAACAGGTTTCTAAAACATCTATATTTTATTATTTGTTATTTTAGTATTTTTACCAGAGACGTTTTTGAAAATAAAAAACTGTACAAAAAAGTAGAATACAATTGTTATCTATATAATAAACCTCTGCTTTCATTTATATGTTCGATAAGCTTGCCAAACACAAGTCGATGAAAATAAACTTTGTTGTTTTATTTTTATAAGAATTTATTTTTTACTTTTTACAAGTATTAACATGTGACACTTATTTTATACTACATCAATTTTTCAAGGATTTTTTGAATAAATAAATTTTAGATCTGTAGATAAATCTTCTTCTTCTATCTATAACATAAAAAACAAGACATTCATAAATATGTTCCCTATTGCCGGCCAAACGGTTGGTCCGAATCCGGGACACTCATGGGTAGCCTGGGGGGTGACATAGGCTAAAAAAAATTTGGATTATTTTAAAAAATATTTTTTTTTTCAACAGGCAACGTTGGGCCGGGCCCTTTTGCTTTAATCACTGTTTTGAATTTTTTTAAATGAAAGGGTTGACAAAAACATAATTTTCAAAACAATAAAACCCTCTTTGGTTGTTTTCGTAAAATCATGGCCTGTTCCACTTCCTTCCAGTGACTAAACTAAACTAAAGTAAACAGAATAAAAACTAATTTCAGTAAATCTGCATTAAGAACTCACGGAATAAAAACAGAAAATAGTATTTAGTTCTTAAAACTTTTTTAACAAAATAAACGAAACAAAAATAAACTTGGAGTGGTAAAAACTTGTTCACACTTAATGATTCACATTACAATTACAAAGTGCCCGGCATTGCCCGTCAAAATAAGCCCCATCTCAATAAATTATTTTTAACACTTTCCAAAATTATTTTCAAAACTATTAGAAACACTTAGATTCCAATTTACCGGCAAACTCTTAGCATAAATTCTTTGCAAAACTTAAGCATTTAGCATTATTGCATTATTAAAGGGACTGTAAGCGCTATTTCAAATGACCTACCCTTGAAAAGTTTTTCTGATCAAGTATAAATTAGATTTCAATGTTTTTTGTGTCTTTAAAATTAGATTAACTTTTGTTTATTTAGTTTATTATTTGTTGTTCAATGGAGCCTAAAGAAAATTATGAGTAGTTGTTTTATGTCTCAATGATTTTTAACCTAAATTATGCTAAATTACTTGGATCGTGTGTCTGTCAACCAATGCAGTTTACGACTCTACTTTACCAACTGCTATCTCTAACCTTTTTCAAAAAAAATATTTCTATCTTAAAGATCAACAGCTTAAATCGATCAAAGCTCTTCTGCTTCAGTTGTTTTACTATATTCTATGTTTTTTAATAAATAATGATATAATTTATTATTTCTGCTGAAAATATATGGTTTAATAATTAATTTGATTTGATTTGATTTGATTTGTTTTAATTTGATCATAATTGTATATTTCTTGTTAGTTCTTATCTTCTATTTTTTATATGTTCTGTAGTCACCCTGAACTAACTCTATAACTCAACAGTCTTTAGACTTACAGATTTGTTTATTTTTTACTTTTTCATTCAAAATTGTTATGCCAACAAAAAACATTTAAGATAAAAGGCTGTAAAATTATGTAAAAGGGGCCAAATTGTGATCGAAAGTCACAGTTTTCTGAAATTTCGACAGAACCGTTAATACCACGAGTAGTCAGATCCCGCAGGAGGAGGAGCAGTTTCATTCTAGATACAATATAGTATTATCATTAAAGCAAAAACTGTGAGAAATGACTCAAATGATATTAGAGGTGGGGCGAACAATCGTACAATTGGGCCAAGAAATGTTAGAATTGGCGCAAACAATATTAGAAATAGCACATTTAGAAATAGCTACAAACACAAAAAAGTTATTGTGTAAGAAGTACTGTTAAAAAAAATTACGAATGATTTTGAAAAATAATACAATTTGTTAACAGTTTCTATTTTTTTGTACAGTGCTTTAATATTTTAAGAAATTAAAAAACTGTTTTACCGCAACTTTGTAATTAACTTGGCGTCGGTTGGTAGCTGCAGGGAGGTCCTCATCTAAAAAAATATTTATATCTTCACAAAGTTTGCAAATGATTTAAAGGAATTAAGTCTTTGTCACAAACTAAAATTTTCTTATCACTTTATCTTTGCAACCGGATGGTGAAAACCTTTGATTTTCTAAACTTAGACATCAAAGGTCTACGACATTAGGTTTAAAAGATATAGGGTTTAAAATGTGAATATGTGGCTAATGCCTCTATTTACCACAGGTTTACAACGAGTAATTATTGGTAAGAATTAATTCATAAGATGAATTTATGGCTCCTCCTGAGGGTGGTAGGTAAAAATGTTTCCAAGCGTGATTTCTCAAGGACGACATCACAAGCTACATTTTCCCAACTTCCCGACTGTGTTAAAAGCAATACTTCGATGGAGTAATTACCATTCCTCCATTGGAGTTATTAGTACTGTCAGGAGTGTTAATTCCAACCCCAAAGGTGAATTAATTAGTGACCTAAAAGTGAATAACCATCCATCCGGTGCAGTTATTAGTGTCCGGAGTGTCAATGTCAACCCCACTGGTGAATTAATTAGTGACTTGAGTGTGAACTTCCATCCCTCCGGTGGAGTAATTAGTGTCCTGAGTATTAATTTCAACCCTACTGGTGAATTAATTAGTGACATGATTGTGAACTACCATCCCTCAAGTGGAGTAGTCACTGTCAGTGTCCAAAGTGTTAATTCCAACCCCACTGGTGAATTAATTAGTAACATTAGTGTGAACTACCATCCCTCCGGTGGAGTAATTAGTGTCCTGAGTATTAATGTCAACCCCTGCACTGGTGAATTATTTAGTAACATGAGTGTGAACTACCATCCCTCAGGTTGAGTTATTAGTGTCCGGAGTATTAATTTATCATCCACTGGAGTAATTAGCATTAAATCAATGCATTTCCTCTGATTTCTAATTTCCCTCCGGTGGCCTCTGCTCCAGCGGAAGGGACAACGGCACATGTGCTGCAAACTCCAAACTCTTATGTTAAAAGCAGTTTCAAAATTTTCAGAGGAAAGAAAGTGTTGATAAAAGCTTTTCTTTAGAGTAATGAGGAAAAGTCAGACACGTCACGCTATAAATGAAGAGTCACTTAGGGCAAAAAATAAGCTTAAAAATTTACCTATGGTTTCAATCAAATACTTTTTAGCCAGGGCTGAACTAAAGAACAGGAAGAAAACTGTCACTAGGATAATATTCAGCTTCATCTTCACTTTTTGAATTCTAAAAATATTGAAGAAAAAAATATTTTATGAGCGATTATTTTATGGGAACAAGAAGAAAGAATATGATCAAACTATTTTTGCTACTTAAAAAAGTATACTTTTTACTTTATCTTCCATAATTGCGAAGTTACTTTAGAATTTAGTTCATAAAGATTTTAAGATGTTGGACGACCAAAAATTTTTAATAAAGAAGGTTTAAAAGCTTTAAAAAACACTGGAAAAGTAGGATGAATTATTTAATTAATATTGTTAATTTCTTAAATAAAAACGCATATTTATCCTTTATAAATCACACAACAAATGGTTATTATTCGTATTTTAATATTTATATTTACTAGAAATCTTCAAGTAATAAATATTTGATTTAAAAATATCAATGTAAATACCTATACATTGTCCCTCTTTCAGAATAAAAATTTAACACTATACATTGTTATTATTAACGGAAGATAAAGTGTAACAAAGTTAAAATGGTGTAGCAGCAAAAGTGAGAAAAATAGTTTAATGAGACACTTTGGATAAAATTTTGTTACAGTGTTACCGCAGCCATTTAATCAATATATAATACCTAGGTTGTTTTTCTTCACAGTTTCAATGTAATTCTAGAGATCCTTCGGTGCTCTTTGTATTTAAATACTTTATTCTCCAATTAGAGAAATAAAACAAATTCAACAAACTAAAACAAAAATTAATTAGTAGGTAATTAATGATTTGTTTATGAAATATAACAAAAACATACAAAATTAAGTGTATTTCCACAGAGAATAGAATATATAGAGAGGAATTTACTAGAAAAAAGTGTAAAACGGCCATTTGTTGTACTGTTTCCATTCTGCAGGTGTACTTCACATATTTATGCTATATAACCTGTTGGGCCCTGGAATATCATTTTATAGAAAATCTAAAATTATTGTTAAAAGAAAACCAAATTATGAAATAGGCTGGTTTCATAATTAACCAATGATCATTTCACATAGACTCTATGCCTTCCACTTTACAAACGATGATTTTCCGTTATAACTATAAATCAAATGATGTTTTTATTCACCTAATTCATTAATAAGTTTCTTTAACAGGGAACATACTGTATTAATGTACTCTACTGCATATAATTTGTGAACATTTACATGATTTGTACACTTTGAACTCCCTTTCAGGCTGAAAGGGACTGAAAAAATTCATACCGAGAGATTATTTTAATTCCTCTCTATATATTCTATTCTCTATGTGTATTTTCCCCAATTCTAAAAAAAAGAAAATGGACAGTTACATATTTATTGTTTACGTTACATTTGATATAACTGGTATTGGAAATAAGAATTATAGATTTCATTTTAATGTTAAATAAATAAATTGATTTTAAGGGTTGTAAAACATATCTACGTTTTATACAAAACGGGCATAGTTAAGCATCTTTTTTAATTCGCGCCTATATTTTACTCTTTTCAATCTTTTTTGTTTTTCTTCGCAAATTGTTTTTGCTTCCCTCAATTCTTTTGAAAACATCGTATGCGTTAGATCAGGGTTAAAACTTTGCTTCCGCTTAGAAAAATCTTTAATCAAAGAACCTGTCAAATCATTCGTTGGGATGTTTAGACTGATGAAAATTTCCCTGTATGATAATTGAAGGACTGCAGTATGGTTTTGGTGAATTATATTGACGTACTAAGCCTAGGGGTGTCAGAAATGATTTTTTTTGCATTTTTTGGAAAATGTCCAATAAACCTAAAAAAGTTTAATTTTGATAAAAATTTTTGTTCTGGATGATTGCAAATATCTATCTAAAACTTTCTTAAACCGGCATATTTTTTCTATATTCATTTAGTTAAGAGTTTGAGTTAAAATAAGTATCAATAAATATTTCTTTATATCGAGTAGATATCCTTATACATATCGATGTGAAACCTTTCAGAAAGTAGGAAAGATTTTGCAGAAAAAAGTTGCCAAACCAAACAGAATTTTTATTTTGAACAAAAATATTTAGAACTTATGTAAAAAGCTTAATAGTGGAAAATCTAGAAAAGTAAAAAAAATAAAATTAAGTAATAAATGCAGTGCAAGCATAGCATATAGTTAGACAGCTAAAGATAGAAAATAAAAAAAGAAAATCCAGAGAATATGCAGTGATATAGAAAAAAAGTAATCAATTATTAAAATAATTTTCGGATTTAGTTGATAAATTAAATGGTCTTTTACTTGAATCAATAATTCTTGAGAAATAAAGCAATTCACCAGATTTTTTTGGGAACAGAATTAGAAATTTATTGAGTAGAAATTCCTTATATCTATCCATGTATCTATCTATATATCTATATTTCTATCTATCTGTCTGTCTGTCTGTCTATCTATCTATCTATCTATCTATCTATCTATCTATCTATCTATCTATCTATCTATCTATCTATCTATATATCTATCTATCTATCTATCTATCTATCTATCTATCTTAGGAAATATTTAATCATGCATAGTTCCGCCGAAACAAGTAACTACCTGCTAACTTAGATAGATGGATAGATAGATATCGACAAATGATGTACAATATATATAGATAGATAGATAAAGGAATAGATAGATAGATACCAGCTGATATGTGTGTATATAGTAAATATATTCATTGCCATGTAGTATTAAAGCGTCAATTGTGATTAAACTACATTTTATTACTTTAGGAAATTACCTGAAGATAATTTTTGAGATTTTTATTTTCCAAAAATAATTTCTTTATTTGCTTGTTCTAATTTAAGCTGATACTAGTAGAACAATTTTTATTTGTAGTTTTAATTTTAATCTTTCTATTTGTTAGAAAGTCAATTGAAAGTTTACAACTTTTTACTCACATATTTCTTTTAAATATTTTTCTTTGAATCTTCAAAATTCCGCAATAAAACATTTGAAAATTTATTGATAGATGGATAGAAAGATATAAAAGAAGCCATGTTTGATATTTTATATTATGATAAGCCGGCGTATCAATACATAGTGCATTATAAAGCTTTAATCTGACAACATTTAGCAAAATTTCATCAATTTTAATCTTTCAGTTCTGAAATTTAACCGTATAATTCTGAAATTGATAGATTAATTAACAATTTCATGACAGTTTGTCTTTTACCATTTTGCCAACACTCCCTTTCATTTAAAAAATTCAAAAATTAAAATAAAATAATAATCTAAAAATAGTAATAAAATTCTGAAATAAAACAGTGAGTTCAAAATTTGAAAAAAAAAGAATAAAAAAGTGACAAAAAAGTGAAATAACTTCTGAGCAAAATTGACGAAAAGTGATGAATTTTAATGAAAAAGTGATCAAATAATCTGTGAAAATGTTTCAATTTCTGAAAAAGGAGAAAACTGAAGAGGAAAAGGCGGAAAAGGAGAGAAGACGGAAGGAGAAAAGAGAAAAGAAAGAGAGACGAGAACCACAGGTGGACATTTTCCACGGAAGACTAGGGTCCATTTGAATTTGCCCCGGCCCGACCCCTTAGTTATATATGCGCGGCATGTACCGGCCGGATCCTATCATATAACTGCCCGGTTTAAGCTTTGATGACGCGGCAATTGACTTGATACAGTAGCCTATGTGACCTACCCCACTAGCTTAGTTAAGTGTGTTTTTAACAGTAAATGTTTTATCAAATGAAACCTTTGACGTAGGCGCACGCAGATTTTATTTGGTGTTGGGACATTTCACAGAAAGACATTTCATAGATAGGACATTTCATAGACAGGACATTTCATAGATATAGGGCACTTTATAGATAGAGCATTTTATAGACAGAACATTTCATGGACAGGACATTTTATGAACAGGACATTTTATATTCAAGATAAGACATGTCATAGATAGGAAATTTTATAAACAGGGCATTTCAAAGAGATGACATTTCATAAATAAAACATTTTATAGTCAGGACATTTCAAAGAAAAACATTTCATGAAAAAAATCATAGATATAACATTTTATATATAGGAAATTTCATCACATTTCATATAGGACATTTCGTAGACACTACATTTCATATTATTGACAGAACATTTCATGGACGGAACATTTCATAGAAAAGACATTTCATGAACAGGACATTTCAAAGACAGGACATTTCATAGACAGGACATTTCATTGACAGGATATTTCATAGATAGAGATTATTTTCATAAAAGAGACATTTCATGAATAGAACATTTCATAGATAAGACATTTAATAAATAGGACATTTTATGAACAGAGAATATTTTCATAGAAATGATCAATTTTATTGAATGATGAGATAAATAGAAGATAGATGTTACTCCCATTCTATTTCTATTGGTTCAGAACAAACACCAAACACATGACGGAACCTTGATTGGATCAGGCACTAATGGAATATGCATACAATTGTGTATACAACACGTACTGTATATGCATTCAGTCGTACTGCCCGGTCAGGCTACCCAGTGCAGAGTCGAGAGAGCACGTTTAATGCAACAAATGTAGCCTGGCAAGATCACCGTGAATAAATGATTTTTTCTACGATCTTTGACTGCGTCAGAATTAAACGCAGTATGGGTCACGTCAAGGGTATTATTTGCAGAGTCAGTTTGATTGGTTAACACTAGGTGTCTTAATTGAAATGAGAATTACATGCACATGATAACTTTACTGAAGAAAATTCAGACAATTCTTTTAATACTAATTTTAGGTTATTCCTAACGGATCGACTGTAACAAAGAAAAGACTGAAAGTCTTGTCTTTAAAGATTCAATTTCTTATTCTTGTTTTTTTTTGTAGAAATCTACCATTTACCTTTTTATAAAACTCAAAGGTGTCACACATTCTGATTTTATAAATTCTTTATCTTTGCAACACAGGTCAAACTATGAATTCTGCTAGATTTAAAATCTTGAGTTTAAAATATCAAAAGTAAATGCTTTCGGGTTGCAAATATCAATAATTTTTGAGTTTGTGGCAAAATTTCAATTTCTTAATATCTTGAAAAATGATGTTTCTATATGATGTTTATTAAAGAAATGTGGAATTCATGAGGAGAGTCCTTTTTAACAAATACATTATATGTAACAATTAAATTGTCATAAGTTGAAATGAAATTCTAATTTTCTATTGTGTGAATTAAATACAGAATAGAGCGGGCATGGAATAAATTTGTGTTTAATTTGAATGATGACATAAATTTTTCTCTCTTGCTCTATTTCTCTTTATCTTTAAATCTTTTTACAATGATTCTTTTGTTCTTCAAAGGGACAAAATTTCAAGTTACCCTCCATTTAAAAAGTGGCATATCCAACACATAGCCGAATTAACCTTGATAATTGTGTAACTTTCTGACAATTTTCTTTAATGTTTAATTCAGTTGCATTTATTTGAAAGTTACTATTATAGAGAAATCTCAATTGAAAACAATCAAATGTTATAATCGGAAGTGCTAATTTATAGATTAATATTACTATACTTTTAAAGAGTGGATTTTTAGAGTAAGAATTGTCAACTTTTTTGACAACACTTTATAGATAGAGCATTTCATAGACAGAACATTTCATGGACAGGACATTTCATGGACAGAACATTTCATATTCAAGATAAGACATGTCATAGATAGGAAATTTTATAAACAGGGCATTTCAAAGAGATGACATTTTATAAATAAAACATTTTATAGTCAGGACATTTCAAAGAAAAAACATTTCATAAAAAAAATCATAGATATAACATTTAGATATAGGACATTTCATAGATAGCATAATACAAGGGAATTGAGTCTTTGTCACAAACTCAGAGTTTCTAATCTCTGTATCTTTATGAACCAAATGTCGTAAACCTTTGATATTTCAAACTTATATCATTTGAACTAACAGAAGTCTTAGTTTGAAATATCAAAGGTTTCCGACGTTGGAATCTAAAAACATAGGGATTAGAAAATCAGAGTTTGTGGCAATTCCTTTGACTTTCCATGACCATAAGTCTTCCCTTGGGCCGCCTTATTGATCCAGCCTGTTGACGTTTATTGGATACAAACAGACAGACAAACACCAAGACACCCAGACGGACAGACTGATGGACAAGCAAAAAATTTATTTCTAGGATAAATTAACCTCAGCTGATCTGAATAGATTAGAAGAAGTAAGAAGAAGTTTAAAAATTAAGGTGAAATCTTTTCAACAACTTATTTATAGAAATCAAAAAGAATAGAATATATATTAGAGTGGAATTTAGACAATGCCTTGGTATGAATTTTGTCAGTCCCTTTCAGCCTGAAAGGGAGTTCAAAGTGTACAAATCATTTAGAGATGATTTTATCCCAGGGATAACGGCAAATTATAGAATTCATACTGATGGGTAAAAATCCTAACTTTATCATTGATTTATTCTCTGCTCATGATTTATCAATTCAATCATATTTTTTATAAAATCAATTTTATAAAAAAAAGTCTTTGATTAATTTCATTTAACAATTGTCATTGATTAATTTTCTGTTTTAATATTCTTGTTACATATATAATATTTATTTATTTTTAGTTAATTTCACATTTTTCTCATTGTAATTTTCATGAAAATACTCTTTTTTAATTCAATTTTCTTTTTAAATGAACTCTAATCTGTTTTTAGATCTCAACGACAATTTGGAGCAAACTTTGGTAAGCTAAAAATAAAAAATGTAACAAAAATGAGGAGATGATGAGGGGGGGGAGAGGGGGGAGAATAAGGGGGAAAAGTGGGGGAGTAGAGATAATAGTGAGCAGAGTTAAAGGGGAAGGAAAGATAAGGAGAAAGGGGGAATGGGAATAAGGGGGAAAGGATGAGGGGGGGGGGAAATACAATTTGTATATCAATCTTTCAATATATTACAGGTTGGAGTACTAACCCTAAAAGTATATTGAAGCCTGGAAACAGTAGTAGGACATATTCACCATCGTTGGTTTCACTACAGGTATAATTCACAACGGTACCTTTAATACGATTCACCGACAAAAGGTCAAACGACACAGGGTCAAACGACAAAGGGTCAAACAACAAAAGGGTCAAACGACAAAGGGTCAAAAATGCGACAAAGGGTCAAACGACAAAAGGTCAAAATGATAAAAATATTTTTTGATTTGAATCATAGGAAACTCGCAACCCTCCTATCAATTTTGAACATGGATCTTATATGTTAGACATGGATATGATTGACCATGTGGCCGCAGCGCTCGGCGTAGAAAGTGTCTTAACTAACCTAACCCGTGGCCGCAGCGCTCGGCCCCCTAGCCTGTCCTAGCCGCAGCGCTCGGCCCAGAAAGTGTCTTAACCTAAGCTAACCCTAAATAATAATAGATAAATACTAACTGCAACAGATGTCAAAATTGTTAAAAAAATTTGCCCCTTTGTCGCATTTTTTGACCCTATGTCGTTTTGCCTTTTGTCGCGCTTTTGACCCTTTGTCGTTTGACCCAGTTTCGTTTGACCCTTTGTCGTTTGACCCAGTGTCGTTTGACCCTTTGTCGTTTGACCCTGTGTCGTTTGACCCTTTGTCGGTGAACCTTTAATACCTTTGACTGATAAAGGATGACTTGTCCTTGTTTCCATAGAAACGCTTTTGTAATTGTTGAACACACTGTTTGCAAGCTTTTTCTGTTTAAGAAATATTGTTATTTGCACAGAGGGTCTTCCATAAACGTCTTAGTTAACTGTGATACCTGATTTTAAAAGTTATGATAAAGTTTCAGTACAGTGATAACCAGAAAACTCTGAAATAGGAATACGAAATTAAAACAAAACTTAAATGTAATGCTTTTATTAAAAGCAAATAGATTTATTGGTAACTTGTTAAACGAATTGAGAAACCCGCATAGAACAAACGACCCTGTTTTAGAGTCTGAAAACGACCCGCACGACCCCAAAAAC